TGGAAGGGAGCCCTCATTTTACAGACTAGCAATCCCAGATGGAAAATGAAGTAAAATAGCTTTGCCAAGGTCACAGAGCTAGAATTTGGTGATATTTTAAAAAAATTTATTCAAAAAAAGAAAAAGATTTGGGACAGAATATATTAACTCGTAGCCAATTGTCTGACCAGGCTGTGTTTCTGCTTTCCTGTATGCATAGGACCATAAGCAGGTATGAGGTTAAAATAACTAAGACAGTGGTTCTCAATCTTCATTGCATAATAAAAACAAGAAACCAGACCCCACCCCCAGGGTTGATCCAATTGGTTTGGGCAGGTCAGTGTTCTCGAACTTCAGCATTCATCAGAATCACGTGGAGGGCCTGTTAAAACAGATTGCCAGCCCCATCCCCAGAGTTTGATTTTGGGGGTTGGCATGGTGCCCAATAACTTGCATTTCTAATAAATCCTGAAGTCACATTGATGCTGCTGGTCTGTGAACCACACTTTGAGAACTACTGGGGGTAAGGCATCAGGTAATTTTTCTTTTAAGTTCTTCAAGATGGTAACGTTCAGCCAGTTGAAAATCACGGGCCTAAAAACAATCATTCTCAATCTTTTTTGGAATCACCTGGGGAATTAAAAAAAAATACTGCTGCCTGAGTCTCTACCCCAGCTCTTCTTTTTAAATTGATCTGGGATGCAGCCTGAGCCTTGGGATGTTTTAAAGGATTTTGCACGAATAAAGGAATCCTACTTCAGATGACTGTGGCATGCAGCCAGGACTGAGAGTCGCTGAAAATGTTTTGCCTCCTCAAATCTTATTACCATTTACCTAGAATTTCCCCAGAGCTGGGTACTTTCACCACCATCACATACTAGAAATTCCTTTCTAACTGGTTGTCTGTGAACAATGATTTATTTCCACTTCGATGTTTTACTAATATTTATTGAATACTTGGATGCAGTCGGCCTGGTGGTGAGGGTTTTGCCTCTTTACCATCCTTTTGTTTTGCTTTGCCTACTGAATGGTTATGCTTTAAATCATCTTTCCTTAAAGAGAGACCCTGTAATTTCTAGAATCAATACTGTCTTCTAAGTTGTGGTTAATATATATCACGTTTTATTCTGTTTCTGCTGGTTAGAAACTCAAGACAGGAAAAGAGAGGGAGAGAGAGAAAGGGTGGGGGGATCTTATAGAAAAAAAAAAAATCCTTCTGCTCTTAACACATTACCCTTAGTATTTGATTCTCTGTGGCTCTTGGCTGGGGTTATCTGGAAATGGATAGATTCAGTAATTCCAAGAGGAAAATTCCAAGAATACTTATGACTGCAACCTAAGGCAGCTGATTTTCCTTTTGCTTTTAATTAATGCATTTCTTTCATTTCCAACTAAAAAAAAGAAAGCCACTAATTTTTTCCCCCAAAAGTAACTTCCTCTGGAACAAATTATAATACTATTAAGCACAATGATATGACTTGTTTCAGGTAAAGGGGTTTTAGCTGAGAAGACTTAACAGGAAATATTCAGTTATTTTTACCTGTTTCACAGTTGTGCTTAACGCTTCCTGTCAGGACCCTATGCTCACTCTTTACAAGACAGTACTGATACGCACTACTACACAACCCTCCTCATGAAGAACAGTATTTTCAGAATTAAGGTTAAGAATGCATCCTACAGCTTTTAGTTCCCAAAGTTCCATTTGTTCCAAGCTTCATGAGATCTGAGAGCCGTCAGGAGCTGTATCTTTAACTTTTAGACCTGTGGCCTAGCGAGGTGTTTAATAAATGGTACTTAATTAATATTGACTAGATGAATGAATGTATACACACGTCCGTATTTGCTTCACATAAGCCCAAACCATAGGGAGACCAAGGCTCAGACAACTCTAAGAGTCAAGGAAGGCAAATGCCATCTTTACGATCTGAGATGTCCCCAATACTCCAGTTTTCTTTTCCCTACTTTTGTACCAGTTTTGATAAGAACAGTTCAGCCTAATGAGGTCAGATGGTCCATCTCCTCACCCACCCACTTTCCTTCTTAAAATGGCCAAAGCAGCTATTCTGATCGTACCACAAAACACAAAATTACTTATAACAAAATCATAACTGTGGGAGGTATTCATCGATAAAATGTAGCCATGCAGATTCTATGATACATGTTACCAGAAAATTTGGGGGCAGTTTTTCAAGGCTGATAAGCCCATTATGGGAAAGGGCCTGGCTGGGAAAAGTGGTGGGTGAGAGAGCACTGCAGGGAGGTCAGAGTTCAACCTGGGCCAACACACAGGACAGCACCTAGGTCACTTCTCTGCGCTTCAGTTTCCTCATCCTCAAATGAAAAGGTGGTGCTGAGTGATCTCCAGTGGTCCTCCTAACTCTGACACAGCCTGCATCTCTATATTTCTCTTCATATTATGGCTTACACAATCACTGTGGAAACACTTAAGGGCCGAGCAGTGAAGTCTACATATTTACTTTGAAGGATAAGAAAAGAATTCATTTTAAACTATTGTAAAATGTCAGGGTTTAGGGTTTTGTTTTGTTCTGATTGGTATTAAATACAAATATTCCCCTGTATTTGCTGCTTCAGTTTTCATATAACACCAATTTTCCAAAGCAATATGGACTTGCATTATATTATTCTTTAAAATGTTGTATGAAGCCAGGTTGGGTAACATTTTTGTTTTGAGGCACAGGGCTTGAATTACCAAGTGACACAGTTCAGTTTATAATATAAATAAGTTTTCCAGGAACCTGTTTTACATTAGAGACTGCTACAAAACTAAGATAAAATTGTTGCGAGACCACCAGATAGGCTTGAAACGAAGCTGATCCAACCTATTCACCTGTCTTGGAAATTAGCAAGCATTGCTACAGTTAGCTTGATGCCCACTAACGACCTGAGTCATGGTAATTAAAAAAGACTGGCTTGATTAGGTCCAGGTCCTTGTGCTGCATGGACCTTCACCCAATGAAAGCATTAGAAATTAACTTTATGACACCACAATGAGAACCAACAATACAGAAATCATAAAAATATACCATAAATCAAAATCATTATCTATTAAATTAGTTTTGAGCTGAGCTTTGGTTATTGAAATAATTTAAAGGAACTAATAAATATGCAATCCACACTACACCTGCTTATAATCATAAAGAGAGTTTTAAAAATCCATTTTCAACATGAAGAGATTGTTTGTGCCTTATCCCCAAACAATAATACCCAAACACTGAAGCAAAAAAGTCAGCTATCTATTTACCTACTGGTGACCAACAACAGAACTTTAGTGCTTTCAGGAGTCAGGTCATTTTCACCCTTATTTTACAAAGCTAAACCAAGATTTCTGTTATCAGAAGGAGCAATCTGCTGCTAGGCTCTGCCCAAACGTCAAGCACCTGCTTTCTCTGGTCTGGAGGCAGATGGTACATCATAAAAATAAAAGTCATGGGGAAAATGCACAGAAAGATATTCCCTTTAAAACCCTTTAGGAGGTTCTTTTTTCCTAAAATCTAATGCTATAAATATACATGTTTATGTTAATATCTTAGCTTAGAATTTGGGAACTGATTCAGGGGCATTAAAAAAGTTTCCTTAGCCTGATTCATATTCACGTGTTCACATATTTCCATAGAATGGGGAAACAGCCTTTACTTTAGCTGATTAGCACGTAAGGCAGGCCAGAACAGGAATTTTGGAATCCCAACAAATACCCTGAGCGAAGGCAGCTGCCATCCTTATCCTTCAATATTACTGCTAACTGTACCTCCATTGAGTTCTCTTATAGCAACTAAGACACCGCTTAATAGGTGTCTGAATCAGCTCAGGCTGCTATAACAAAATAGCACAGATGGAGTAGCTGAAACAACAGGAGTTTACTTCTTACAGTTCTGGAGGCTGGTGAGGCCAAGATCAAGGTGCCGGCCAATTTGGTTCCCCCATGAGCCTCCTCTTCCTGGCTGGCAGACAGCGCCTTCTCACTATGTCCTCAGATGGTAGAGAGAGAGCAACCTCTGATCTCTCTTCTTCTTCTCATAAGAACATTGATCCCAACATGGAGGTCCCACCTCATGATCTCATCTGAACTAATTTCCTCCCAAAGGCCCCGCCTCCAAATAGCATCACATGGGGCTTAGGGCTTCAGCGTATGAATTTTGGAGGGACACAAACATTCAGACCATAACAATGGAATAACCTCATTTATATTTGTGGGATTTGTATAGATGAGCTAGGCTGTAATAAATTGGCCTCATAATATGCTTTTCCACAATAATTATGTAGGGTGGTGTTTCTCAAACTTTAGGTGCATCGGAATCCCCTGAAGCTTGTTAAACACACATCTCTTGGCCCGATCCCCAGGGATTCTGATTTAGTAGGTCTGTGCGGGGACCTAAGGATTTGCATTTGTAACAAGCTCCCAGGTGATGCTGACGCTATCTGTTTGAGAACCACTGATGCAGGGGTTCCCTTTGGAATGTTAATATCAGTTATGATTCTTTGGGCATGTATTGGCTTCTCAGTAATACCTGTTTTATGCTGAACATATTTGAAATGTGTCAGTTTGCTTATACACAGATGTTGCAGTTACATACAAAGATGCTCTCAATAAGCAGATGGATAGATCTGCTGGGGTGAGGCTGCTTCGTGCTGTGAGCACCCAGGGAGAGTCAATTAATGCCGTATGTCTATGTCTCATTAGCTAATTGTGACTTCACAAGTCACCAAGATTTACAAGAGTGTCTGCTGACATCTTATCCTTATTGATTTTTAATCTTAGAATTTAGAGCTAGTCTTTAAAGTTGCTGGATTCTGCTATCTTACATCTACAAGCACGTTGCAATTGTTTGAACTAATATCAAATTTTGACAAATTTTAATATTAAGTATTTGAGCAATGCTTACTATATATGTTCAACTCATTTGTCCTATAATCATACTTGGCTAAATTTTAAAGCATGGCTCTGTCATGAAACAGCATAATTTTAAGATTTACTTCAAGTACACTTTGGAATGTAAACGTACCTTATTTAGCTTTATAAAATATCCCAGTCCCGCTTCCAGGGGATTTGTATCACAGTTCATCTAAAAGGGAAAACACACATTTTAAATCTTAGATGAATGCAAATTGTTTTAATAACATCACTTTCATATATACTTTTTAGGGAAGAGAACACTTTTTCACTATGAATATAGATTCTGAAAAAGGAAAATTGTGGACTGGCCTCAAAGTAATTTTTTAAATCTAAAATTCAAATGTAGCCTTTCAGCAAATACTGTTATTTCAATAGCAAATTAGAAACTAAAATTCACAGTTTGTTTCCAAGGCTCTCTTTGTATAATAAACATCTGAGGGATACCACAACAATGATGTCTTCCCAGAAACAAGACTTTCAGAAGCTTTTATCTAATAATTTTACATAAACAGGTTTTGAAAAGGTATTAAGTAATTTACTTATCTTACAATCATCCAGAAATTGGGATAAGTAGAGGAAAAAGCAGGTGATAGGAAAATGGCTTCTACAGAGTTCAGGAGAGGGAAAAGGAAAAAAAATAGAGATTGAATCTCAATCTTTTCAAATTGGTTGAGTTATTACAACATAGTTCAAGGGGAACTAAAGCCACTATTTGAGACTAGACCTGATTTTTGTTTGCTTGTTTATTTTGTTGTCGTTGGTCTCTTTTGCTCCAGGAGAACTGGTCTAAACCTCATAAAAAGTTGCCAAACTTAAAAAAAAAGACAACACAGCCCTCGTATGAACTGCATGAGTAATATAAACTTGTTTTACATAACATAAAATTTCGGGCTCATATTTCCTAATCCATTTGAGCACCTCTAAAATTTTTACCTGCTCAAAGTTTCAGAATTCCAGGAAAAAAATGAAAACAAAGCCCAGATGCTTGATTGATGTATTAACACTAGAGGGCGTGCTGGCACTGCTGGGAAATCGGAGGGACGGGGGATGGAGAAAACCATTTCAGAGGAGGGGTCCAAGGGAAAAGGCAGGGAGGCGCAGAAACGCCTGACCGTGAAGGCTGCTTCAGCTGCTTCATCCCTTGTGGCGTGTGGAGGCAGAGCCGTCCTCTACTTTTCTCCCTGCAGCAGCCTCCGCTAAGAACCCCACCCACACCCGGCTTGTAGGCTGAGAATCCTTATAACACAGCACCTCTCCTGCAAAACAGTGACTTGCCCCAGGGCCCTTGTTCTTTCAGGGGCTCCAGGAGGCTGCCCTCTCCACCTCAAAGCCCACTTGCTTCTGCCCCTGGTCTAGCTGTCCAAGGGACCCTGCCTGCACTTTCAAACCCACTCTGCCCTCAAATTTATTGTTATATCCTAGGCACTTTGTAGACTATCTAATCTCGACAATAACTCTGGAGGAGAAAGATTGGCCCTATCTTATAGAGAAGTAAACAGACTCTAGAGGGTTAAGGCCACACAGTTAGTATGTGGTGGAGGATACATCTGAACCCAAGAGACCCTACCCTGAAGTAAGAACATCTTTTACCACTGTCCCTTATCTCACCTCCCAGGCCTAAAACCTTAACGTCTTCCAAGGAAACTAGCAAATCTGAAAAAATTAAGGGGTCGAAAAATAGCCTGCCATATTGGAGATAAAACAGAGAACAGAGTAATCTGGACCAAGTTGTTTATTATTTCTTAGTGTGATTGTGTTTTGAACAGGGATTGTGTGTAGAACTGCCAACGCTTTGCCCAAGAATCACCAATAATACCTCCTTCAGGGAGAGTTGAGAAGGTAGATGAGATCATGCCTATGAAAATGGTGTGTAACTACACAAATAGAAACCCTGAGTTCCCATTATTAATGGTGGGAATGGGCTGGACCAACGCATCCCAGACCACCAACCCCGCCCCCCTCAGAAAGACCCCTTTGGTTGCTACTTCCCCAAAAGGTGCGGGATAAGAAAGAACTGAGGATGGGCAATGTGACAGAGGAGAAGGAAGAATTTGAAAGGTAGTCCTCAAGTCCCGTGGAGTAGGCAGGCTCCCTTGGGATAGCCACAGCTCCCCACACAGTCAGAGACAGATGTCCAGGGCTCTCTGCTAAGCAGGAGGAATTAGGGCAGAATAAACATTACGTCACAATTCCACTGAATTTGCAACTGGGAAATTGAGGAGAAAAACCTCTTTCCCTAATTAAATAAAACTTCGGGGAATTCTCAGGTGGTCCAGTGGTTAGGGCTCTGCGCTTCCACTGCAGGGGGGCATGGGTTTGGTCCGTGGTCTGGGGAACTATGATCTCGCATGCTGCACGGCATGGCCAGAACAAAAAAAAATTTTTTTTTCTTATAATACATACTTTTACAACCAGAGCCAATGCTAATGCAGTTAAAACTAACCCTTATATAAAAATCAGATACAATACACGTAAAATTTTAATAAAGATGCTAGCATTTCAAACCTCTGACCCCCAGGCTCTGAAAGCTTTCTCCAGTCTTAAGGCATTCATGGCATAGGTTCCAAAGTTGTCAATTCCCTCTTCCTGGCCTGCATTCATGATAACGTCATAAAGTGCCGCAGAATCTTCTCGTCTGTGGTACAGCTCCCAACCCAGCTCACCTGAAATACACCCACAAGTGCCCACCAGAGTAAGAATGATGATCATGGAGTCTAATGTGCATTAGCTAAAACACATCAATAAATGGAGAGATTCCATTTATGCAATATAGACACTGTTGAGTTTTAAAAGACCAGTTCAGAAAAAGGTTGCAACCAAACCCCACTGCAAAGGAGCCTGCCATATCACAGATGCTTTTGTGCCCAATCCTGTCCCCCACACAGAGGGTAGCATCTAGGACATCTCATGACACAGAAAGACTGTGATGCAGGAGTTACTCTTGCCCCTTGACCTCAGCTTCATAATGTTAAGTCAGGAATTAGCATGGCAGAGTTTATCAAGAAAAGGGGTTCAAGGTTTAGACACCTCAACCCCCAACTCCTTGGCCCCAAATCACGAGGCTTAAAGATAAAGGCAACTGATGACAACTATTCAACTTGTCTTTGCTGTGGGATAGCCATAGTCTCTAATGCCCCCCACTCCCCCCTCCTTCCCCATTTGGTCATTTCATTCACCATTAGAGCTGTGGGCAAAAACCAAAGAAAATGACACCCAACCCAAAGAGACTGCTTATTTTTTATTCTGCTTATGTTTTATTCTGGTCACCATTTGGCCAAGGTTGGGCAGAGGAAGGATGGTGAAAAGGGACAGCGGAGGCCCAGGGAAGAGCTATGGCCTTTATACTGTGTGTTCGCCTCATTCCTCATGTCAAGGGCTGATGGTGAGGTGCTTCTCCAGGACAAACACCAGAACGTTAGCAACACGTAATTGAGTGAATGCCTGGGCACCCAGTATATCTTCTGTGAAGGGACAGGGAATCTACAGAGAGTTAGAAGTGAGCCCAGAGCACCAATGGGGAGCATTTATTCATCCGTTTCCAAATATCTACTATGTGCAATGTTAGCTGCATAGCAAGTCTTCCCTAATGCACTTAGAGTCAGAAAGAAAGATGATCAGTGGTAATGCTTTAAGAGCGGTGCCTGATACATTCACGATGTTCTCTATGGGAGACTCTATCAATGGGAGACCATTTTGAATGTTCCCATACAGAATCAGCTGGCCTGAATATTCTGTCAACCCTTCCAACTATTCCAACAGCCATCTTCTTCCCACTTTCTTAACTACCTTTCCAAATGGTAGGCAGCTAGCTATGAGCCTGGAACAACAATTGGAAATCTGTGAAAGGACTCTCTCAGACTAGGAGTGAATAAACAAAATTGTCAGAAGAGTCAGGCAGGAGAAATCTTTCTCCAAAGTTAAAATGACCAAAGTGAATGTGTGTGTGTGTGTGTGTGTGTGTGTGTGCTGTGTGTATGTGCATGCGTGCACACATTTCTGGTAACTGCTTTAAAATTTTAGAGCCTTATTCTAGGTTGTTTTCCAATTCTTACCAGTATAAGATATCCTGATAGCAGTGACAGGAATGTTGGAAACCTTTAAAGACTTGGTCTGAAGAAACTTGAAAACATCATCACTAAGATCTTCAGAGGTCAGTTTCTGAAGGGCCTTTCTTGCATGTGGCCCTGCGACGCCAAGGACTCCAAGCTCATCGGTTATGTTTTTAATTTCAACATCATATCCACCTTTGAAAGCCTCTTCTTCAATCCATCTGCATTTGAGATTCATAAACATCGTGTTAAATCCTGCTTGAATAATGCATGTTGGTAACAGATTATTTCTCGGAAGAAATGCTCTGTGTCTAGAATTGCCAGAAAGTCCCTAGAATGTCATTTCACATAGATCACCTAATTTTTAAAATTGAGGAAACTGAGTCCCAGAGATGTTAAATGATCCTCTTTAAACTACCCACTTAAATGTGTGGGCAATTTTTCACAGTACGGAAGGACCCTTCCGTTTAAACAAGATCTGCCACACGATTCTTTTAAATAGCGACAGCCCTATTGCATTTAAACTGATGATTCAATCTTGGGAAAATTTTCTCTAATACCTGTACACAGGAGGCATGCTTGTGTTGCTAAAGGTTAATAATGCACCTGCCACCAGACACATACTTGCTTTGACAATGACAAGGAAAAGATTAAAACTCTAAAGACTAGTTTCAATTTCTGAGTCTTGATGAGTTATTGGAACCCAGTGATAGGGCTCATTTATAATTTTTTGAGCACTCCCTGGAGCTACACAAGTCTATCAGAAAATGACCATCTGGATTGACACAAAGCTAAGCTACTAAGATGGCTCCCAATGCACCTTGGATTGGAGGCTATAATTTGCATCATTTTACAACTAGAGTGAGAATCTGTCAGAGTAAGATGTTTATTAAACAACAATATTCCAAGTATTTTTGAAATACTGAAGATTAGAGATTTTAGAGTAGACTAAATAATAGACTAAAGCTTCGTGTGAAGGATTGACTTGGCAGGTCAATGATTTAGATGCAGCTTTGTGGCACAAAGCGTGAAAAAGGAAGAAGAAAAACCAGGGAGGCAGTTCACTAAAGTGGACCAAACTTGGGCATCAGAATCAACAAGGCTGGCTTGAGCAGGTTACTTTAACCCAAACTTCACTTTCCTCACCTGAAATTGGGAATAATACATACCTTGCAGATATATCTATTAAAAGAATTTATTGAGATAATGTGTAATAATGGTTTTGACATATTGGCGATGCCTAACAAAAGGGAGTTAATATTATTAAAACCAGTAAACCCCATGGATGGACTACCTTTGGGAGGGGGATGGTCATAGGGGCCCTTCAAATAATTTCCTCTAAGAGATATGAAGTTTATTTAAAACAATAAGATTTTAAGAATTAAAGTTGTACTTTCAATTACTGGTAAACAAACAAACAAACAAACAAAACCTCGGTGCAAGATTGGGTCAATATACAATCCATGTAAAATTTTCTTACTAGGTGTACACTTACCTAAGATCATGAAGCTCTGATCCAGAACCAGTTATTAATAGAAACTCCCCAGGAGACAGGTGAGAAACTGTCAACTCAGCATATACTTGACCTTTTGGTGTTAACATGTGACTTATATTTGTAAAACCCACCTACACAAAAGAATTTTAAATTACCTCAGGATGAAATAAAAATCTTATGTGTCCTGTTAACACCACATGGAAATAAAAATGTGGTTGTCAAAAATGAAAAACATCTGAATGCTATCATTTCTATCAATTGTGTGAACTATCTGTAAACCTAAACCCATTAATTTTGAAGTTTTCAGTTTAAATGACCATTATAATTACTTGTCATAAAAATTACACTTCAGCCAATTTGGGGGTTCCCATTTATACAACTAAACAAAGTCATAAGGTCCTTAGATGATAATTCATTTAACAAAAATTTAAATTTGAAAATTAGCTAGAATACCCTTGGTTAGTTGAAGGGTTCTGGTGTTCATACAGAAATCATTAGGTGAATTGAAATAACATATTGGTTTTTTTGAAAACAAGAGGTAGAGAATTAAGTAGGCCAGAATCCTGGACCTTGTACCCCTACAAGGTTATTTACCTTGGGAATGACATTTGCAAAGAGATGGTCCAACAATCTAATGGAGTCTTGACCTTTGATGTTAAACTTGCCAAATGGTGACAGGTCAATCACCCCTACTCTTTGCATAACCTGTTTATACTCAGAGCCCACAGGATCAAACCAATTTGTGCGGCGAAAACTTGGCCTGAAACACAATGTTTGTCATAAAACAAGAGTTATTCATTTTCAAAAAATTACAGAATAAGGATATTTTAATACACCCTCTTTGCCTAGAAAATTTCATTTGGGGGAAAAGTGCCACCTGTTCTACAAATCATACATACATATTGGAATCTACTTGATTTTTTAAGTTACTCATCTATCCCTTGACCCATTTCATAGTGAATGAAGTATTAATTAAGTAGAAAATAAGATAGGCCATGTGGGTTCTCAGATCTGGAAAAGAGCTTAGAAGTTAACCAATCCGTAGTTTTCAACCTTGGTTACATATTAGAATCACCGGGGGGGGGAGCATTCTAAAAATACTAATTTGGGGGGCATAATTAAACCAGAATATATGAGGGGTAGAGCTATCTTGTTTGTTGTTTCTCAAACATTTATGCAAATACATCACTTGTACTTGTTAAGATACCGATTCTGATGCAGCAGGTCTGCGGAGGGGCCCTAGATTCTGCACTCGAACAGGCTTCATGCTGGTCCACCTGGAGTTAAGCAAGGATCTGGTCCAACATTTTCATTTTTTAGAGAAAAGGCACAAAGTGACTTCCAAGGTCTTTGCATTAGTTAATGACAGAGCTGGGCCTGGAACAAAGGTCTCCTAACTCATTATGCAGGGTTGTTTCTAGTTTACAGAGTGGACTATTAATGTGGTATTTTAACTTCAGAGCAGGATGCTAAGTCTGCAAAATGAGTCTTCAGTGGTTTAATTATTAAAATAGTAGAAGAAATAGGCCAGGTCCAAACAGCACAAGGTGAAGAATAGATCTGGCATTTATCTGAGTCGTTTAGGAAAAACCAAACCGGTATTTTGCCCCCAGGTAATCTCCACTGGCTGACTACAGAGTCCAAATTCATTAATCAGCAACTGGCCCTCTACTATACTTTGGGCCTTTTAGATCTGATCTTAAAGTAGACACTAAAACCTGTTTAAATTTACAATAGCCCGGAGATGGAAACAACCTAAGTGCCCATCATCGGATGAATGGATAAAGAAGATGTGGCACATATATACAATGGAATATTACTCAGCCTTAAAAAGAAACGAAATTGAGCTATTTGTAATGAGATGTAGACCTAGAGTCTGTCATACAGAGTGAAGTCAGTCAGAAAGAAAAAGACAAATACCGTATGCTAACACATATATATGGAATTTAAGGAAAAAAAAAACGTCATGAAAAACCTAGGGGTAAGACAGGAATAAAGACGCAGACCTACTGGAGAACGGACTTGAGGATGTGGGGAGGGGGAGGGGTGAGCTTTGACGGGGCGAGGGAGAGTCATGGACATGTACACACTAACAAACGTAGTAAGGTAGATAGCTGGTGGGAGGCGGCCGCGTGGCACAGGGATATTAGCTCGGTGCTTTGTGACAGCCTGGAGGGGTGGGATGGGGAGGGTGGGAGGGAGGGAGACGCAGGAGGGAGGACATGTGGGGGCATGTGTGTATGTGTAACTGATTCACTTTGTTGTGGAGCAGAAGCTAACGCACCATTGTGGAGCAATTGTACCCTAGTAAAGATGTTAAAAAAAAAAAAAAAAAACCTGTTTAAATAAGCAAAATGACAGGTCAAAAAAAAAAGAGAGAGAGAATTGGACTTCCTGGTGGTGCAGTGGTTAAGAACCCATCTGCCAATGCAGGGGACACGGGTTCCAATCCCTGGTCTGGGAAGGGGTTCCAATCCCTGGTCTGGGAAGATCCCACATGCCGCGGAGCAACTAAGCCCGTGCGCCACAACTACTGAGCCTGCACTCTAGAGCTCGCGTGCCACAACTACTGAAGCTCGCGTGTGTAGAGCCTGTGCTCCGCAACAAGAGAAGCCACCGCAACGAGAAGCCCACACACTGCAACAAAGAGTAGCCCCCGCTCGCCGCAACCAGAGAAAAGCCCATGCGCAGCAATGAAGACCCAACACAGCTGAGAAAGAAAAAGGAGAACTTAACGTGAAAAGGAAACTTTCTTTTCTCTTGGTTTATGGATTCTCATGAGAAAAAATATATAATCACTATTAATCCCAAGTACAATAGTATGCAATCCAAGTATAATGGCAACAGCTTTAGAGGAATTCAGAGAATTGTTTTAGTGATGTGCTTTACGTTTTAGCTCAAACTAAAATAGTAAGTAAATGACCTTTTCCCCTAATTTACTAGCAGTGCATATAACTTGCATGATTCAGTGCACACACACTAGAAAGCAGTTGCTTTGAGCTATTCCTTGACAAATAGAAAATCCATATTTCCATAGTGTTTCCATACTATGTGACTTGGCCAGGCATCCTAAACCAGGACAAACCTTCAGGAGCCAACTGAAGCCATGTGGGGATTTGGAGAGGGTGGAGAAGGTTCTCTGAGCAACTGGAAAATGTCAAGCAGAGGCTTCATCTGGGCTGGTTGTAGGTCTCGCGAGGCCACATGGGTCCTAGATGTGGACCAATGTCACGTGGGATAAACTAAGGCCTGCACTGCACAAAAAGTGATTTTCGTGGGAAAAGGCTCAATGCTCTTTGGAATGGGGTGGAGTGATGGGGTGGGAGGGGGACATGGCACTTCTCTGGGGTCCCTCCATTCCACCCCCAAATTTCATTCTGTGGTGAGAGTGACAGGCAGGTTAAGTCACTCACTTACCTGTACCCAGTGTCCTGGCCTGGTTGATAGAACCAGTGTGGCTGCTCCCAGCCTGCATGGAACCCCATGGAACACTTGGACTCCAGGGTTTTATAAAGCCCACTGACTCGCTGAGTTGGCCTCCCAGCAAACCGTTCTTCTTTAGGGTAACCAACTGAAAAAGGAAAATTGGTGCTCTGAATAGCATAGAACCAAAACTATAAAATATTTTGAAGGGATTCAGAAAATGGAAAACACAGCACTTAAAGTCTAGAAGCATATATTTTATATATATATATATATATATATATAAAATATATATGTATATATTATATGTATAATATATATGTATGTATTATATATATACATATATATGCATTAAATTTATGTTTTACAAAAACCCAAAGCTGTATTTATATTGATCATCAAAGGGTAAAGTAAAAATAGATTTAAAAATTAAAATCACTTATGCATTCCTCATATTAAAGATATATATTCATATAGATTCCTTTTTGTGTCTTAGAAGTACATGCTTTTTAGACTCCCTAACCATTCCCCCACGATACACAGAATAAAAAGCTTCTAAAGTCAGAAGTGATGTAAGTCAATTCTGAACACACTTCATAGACAACAGTAAATGTGCACTTTACCAATATTGTTGAATCCATATGACTCTCTTGCTTTGGCCTCGGTGTACTGAGTTGTTGTCCACTTGCCATAGCGATTGGGATCCAATTCTATCAGATCAAAAGGAGGTTCTCCGTGCAGGATCCAGTCACTGAGATATTTCCCTACCCCACCAGCATGGATTATGCCATACCTTTCAAATACAGAAATAAATACCCTGTTACTAACACATATTGTTTTCCAACAATGAAACATGTCCATATATTTAACAAGGCCTCAAAGCTACAGTGTTCCGTGCTATTGCTATTCAGAACACACAATCAACATAATCTTTATGCTATCATATTTTTTCCTCAAAAAAAAAAATCTTTAGGCATCCAAATTAAATGTGCCTGACTTGATAGCTATTTTCTTTCCACAGTTTCAAGAGCTGTATATCTGCAAAATAGTCTATGACTCTTAGCTAGTAAGGATGCTTTAGGAAAACGGAGGAGAGGAAGCACACAGGCAGATGTGGTTGGTACCTTATCAGCCCTCTTGAGCTATGATTATCCTCACTAATAGGAACTTTGCAGTAGAAATATGTACACTGTAGAGTGGCACACCCATCTCTTCTCAGACTCAGTTTAGTTCAGGTTCCCATAGCAATGACCTCTGCACAAGGATCTTGGGCCATTATTGTAGAAGAAGCATTCAGACAAAGAGGCATTCACCCAAGGACTTGTGGGAAAGAGGAGGAAGAAACAATGGCTCCTGTATTTTGCAATTTGGGTCACTTGGTGGGGAGGGTTGACTTGTTTTCTATTTCCACATGAGGATGCTTTAAAACCAAGAACATGACTGTGGCAAATAATTTCATACCAGATGGAGGGATCACAGTTTAACGTCGCCCATGGGCAGTCCTACCCATTCATTCTTGTGGATAAAGGAAAGTCTTGATGAAGGACTTTACTGTGGGTTCGTTTTTGGTTTAAGTCAAGAGAAGCTTCTGAGGAATTGTATGAGCAGGGAGTCACCGGTAGAGGACCAGGAAAAGGAGCTACATGAGCAGACTTCAAAATGCAAGAAATTCCAGTACCCCAGATGACAGCTACTTGCCAGCATTGCAGCTTCTAAGAGCATGGGAGGACCTTAGCAAAGACTGGAAATGTTAACTACCTTTTTCTACAACAAGATACCAGTTTTTCTACTTTATAAAAATGAATGCTTATATTTGTTATAAGGATATTCCTCAAGCAGAATAAAACGACAGCCATTTATACTTCTCTGGATAGTTTTAAAAAGAGACATGGCTCATCCAAATCACCCACAAACAATCTCATTAAGTTTCAAGAAAGCAAAAAAAATTAAATACATGCTTAAAATAATTGTGAAATATATGCTTAAAATGTTTATTCACTTAAAGAGTACCAATGTATGATATACAACACTTGCCATTTTTGAGAGCTAGAGATACTGTTTATAAGACTTGAAACTATTTAAAGTTCTTCTGATATTCACTGAGTGCTTACCATTTACCAAGCACTGTTTCCTTCTAACATGTACCAGCTGATTTATTCTTTAGCAACTCTATTTTACCAATGAGAAAACCAGCCTGCACTCAGGGGTTAAATAAGGTCACACAGCAATAAAGTGCAGATTCAGGATACAAACTCAGTCTTCTGCCCCCAGTACACACTCCCTGTTATTGGACTTTACTTCTTCAATGGTTCTCAATCTTTTTTCAGCCAAGACACACATAACAGAATTTACATCCTTGGCAGACTCCTTGGGCATAGGGAGGGTTGTGCTTCGGTTTCCTGCGGTCTCACTGCTACACCATCATGTTCTTTCCAATAAATGGGGCAGAGTGCTGTTATTTGAGGATAATACTGAATCAAATCTATTTTTAAAAAGTAAATTTCTACAAACCTCAGCTCTATAATCATTATTAAGTTATATGTAAAATCCCATACAACTGAATGCTATGAAACATCTATTGAGAGCCCCTGGTGTAGTGGTTGAAAGTGTAAAAGCATAGAGTAAGAGAGATCTAGGTAGGATTTTTGTTCTGCCACTACCAGCTGTGTGACCTTGGGCAAGCTGTGTAACCACCCCGAGCTTTAGTCTCCACATGTGCACACTTTATGGTGCTGGTGGAGAATTAATTGATATGGCATTTAAAAGCACATAGTAGGCAAGCAGTACATGGTGGCTATGGGTCCTTGTATAACCAACAACAGAGTATGCCTCTGCCCAATGGATAAGATTTTCATAAGGAAGTAACGTGTGAAGTGGAAGTGAAAGGGAACTTGAAGAGGAAAGAAGAGTGAGGCTCTTTTTCTAGGTCTAGCATTAATCTGTAGAACCTACTTCTACATGGCCCAGCTGCTATGCTATTTGAGTGTTTGTGTATGCTTTTTTTTTTTTTTTTTTGCGGTACGCGGGCCTCTCACTGTCGTGGCCTCTCCCGTTGCGGAGCACAGGCTCCGGATGCACAGGCCCAGCGGCCATGGCTCACGGGCCCAGCCGCTCCGCGGCATGTGGGATATTCCCGGACCGGGGCACGAACCCGTGTCCCCTGCATCGGCAGGCGGACTCTCAACCACTGCGCCACCAGGGAAGCCCGTGTGTATGCTTTTTTATGATAACTGTGAAACTGTCTCTCCTCTCTTTAAATTTGCTGTTTATAATCTGTTGTAAGCCAGGATAACTAGATTCAATTCAATCCAACTCATTAAATATTTGGGGAGCATTGTGTTAGTCACCTAGAAGCAGAAGAATTTATTAGATTTGGTATTAAAGTGAAACAGCTTTGACTGAGGGTATTCTGTGAGTAAGGTCAATGAGCACTGGCATATATGTAGACAGTCTGCAAATACCTATTCTCTCGACTGGTTGGACTAGAATAACAGACAATGCTGAAATGCTGACCCCTGGGCCCCTCTCCAGACTACTGAATCAGAATCAATAGGAGGGGTGTCTGGGAATCTGTTTGCTTGTTGGTTTTCCAATTCCACACACCTTTCATGGATTCTAGTGATACCTAATGAGAATTTCACAGATAAGATGCAAAGGAGGATGAAACACGTGTAAGTGACTAACCACAAAGTTGAGATTCTGCTTTTTAACAAGCCCTGGTGCTCAGCCAGATATGGAAATCACTGGTCTTCAGAACCATGGGATGAATCACTGATATAAATTGGGAGGGGTAGCTGATGTGAGGATTCCACCATGTTACATAAGAAATATCTTAGCAATCCCAACTTTTAAATAACAAGGTGGCCTTTTGGGGTCAGACCAAATTGGTCAGAGAGAGTGTGGCACTTTGTCTGCCCCGACCTGTTATCTTCCCCATTCACCTCGCGACGTCTACAACCTGGGAAAATTACCCAGAGCAATCAAAGCAGGAGTCCAACATCAGCCTCATACAAGTAGATACAATTTCTAGGTGATAAGTAACTAGTATTCTAAAGAAAGCAACTTCCTAATTTCCTTAGTGACAGGTGTTCTATTAAAATATAAATATCATGAGGCCAGGAATACTGTCTGCTCTTGTTCACAGATAAAGAGCAATGATCTGCAAATATGTGTTGACTAAATCAATAATTCAGTGATTAAGCTAATTGCAGAATCAAAAAGAATAAAATGTTTAAGAATAAATTTAGCAAAAGAAGTACAAAACTTACACTCTGATAACTATAAATCATTATTGAGAGAAATTTTAATTAAAAGTCCTAAACAAATGGAAAGACATCCTTTGTTCATGAATTGGAAGACTCAATATTAGGATGACAATACTCCCCAAGTTGATCTACAGGTTCAGTGCAATCCTTACCAAAATCCTAGGCGGCTTCTTTGAAAAAATTGACAAGCTGGTCCTAAATTTTACACAAAAATTTAAGAAGCCCAGAATAGCCAAAACAATACTGAAAAAGAACAAAGTTGGAGGATTCACACTTCCCAGTTTCAGAACTTACTGCAAAGCTACAGTAATCAAGACAGCATGGTACTGGCATAAGGATAGACATATAGATCAATGGAATAAAGTTGAGAGTCTAGGAATAAATCTATACATATATGATGAATTGATTTTGACAAGGATGCTGTGGTACAATAAAAAAAATAAATATTTGGTGTTTGTCCCCAGTTCCTGGCACAGAGCTCCTAAAACCTTTGGAATTTATATTATTTTGTATGCTAACAGATAGCTCCATGGAACAGGGGCAGGGGAACTAGACAGCTTCAGAATAGGGGCTGGTCACCATAAGTTCGATCACCAATGGTCAATGATTTAATCAATTGTGCCTGTGTAATGAAACTTTCACAAAAACTCCTAAACAACAGTGTTCAAAGAGCCTTTGGGTTGGTGAACTCATTGATGCACTAGGAAAATGGTGCACCAGAGAGGGCATGGAAGCTCTGCACCAGACCCCTCCCTCCCATACCTTGCTCTATGCATCCCTTCCATTTGGATGCTCCTGAGTTGTATCCTATAGAATAAATAGGTAAAAGTAAGTAGGGTTTTCCTGAGTTCTGTGATTATTCTACTGAATTATCAAACCTGAGGATGGGGTTGCAGGAACCTCCAAATGTGTAGCCATTCAGTCAGAATTACAGGTGATCCCTGGAAGTGAGGACATCTGAAATTGGCATCTGAAGTGAGGACAGTTTTATGGGACTGAGTCCTTAACTAGTGGGGTCTGCACTAACTCTGGGAGTTAGCAGCAGAATTGAATTGAATTGTTGGATAGTCAGTTGGTGTCAGAGAATTGGAGAATTAAATGTCAGAATTAAATGTCAGAATTAAAGTGTCAGAAAAAAGACATCATAGATGCCAACACATTTCAATGAGTAAAGAATAGTCTTTCAACAATTGGTGCTGGGACAATTGGCTATCCTCAAATGAATCAAGCTGGGCACTTACCTCATAGCACATACAAAAATTAACTCAGAATTGATTAAAGACCTAAACGTAAGAGTTAAAACTAGGGACTTCCCTGGTGGTCCAGTGGTTAAGACTTCGCCTTCCAATGCAGGGGGTGTGGGTTCAATCCCTGGTCGGGGAGCTGAGATCCCACATGCCTCAAGGCCAAAAAACCAAAACATAAAACTGAAGCAATATTGTAACAGATTCAATAAAGACTTTTAAAAAAATGATCCACATCAAAAATATATATATTTAAAAGAAAAGAGTTAAAACTATAAAACTCTCAGAAGAAAACACAGGTATAAATCTTCATTAACTTGGATTAAACAATGGTTCCTTATACATGATATCAAAACTACATTCAAAAGAAGAAAAAAATTCACATTCTGGACTTCATCAAAATTAAAAACTTTTGTGTTTCAATGGCTATGATCAAGAAAATGAAAAACCCACAGAATGGGAAAAAATCGCAAATCATGTATGGGATAAGGGTCTTGTATCTAGAATATATAAAGAACTCCTACAACTTAACAATAAAAAGACAAATAATCCAGTTTCTTAAATGGGCAAAGTATACAAACAGACTTTTCTCCAAAGAAGACATATAAGTGATGTACAAGAGAAACACTCCCACATGAACATGCCTACATATGGACTCTATAGGGGATTTCCTAAGCCCTCAGTTACATTATACCTTCCAGCTTCCTATCTTCATCAGGTTTTCTCCCTCTGGATGTCCCAAAGACCTAAACTTAACACTGTCAAAAATGGAACTCATTATTTTTCCAATTATTTCTTCCTTTGCCCCCAGCGTCCAACCAGGAGTCAAGTAAGAAAGGTTGCCATCATTTGCTATTTTTCTCTCTCCCTTAAGACCTAATGCAATCAATCACCAAATCTAAATAATTTTGTTTCCTATCTCTCAGTGCCCACTGCTGCTTCCTTAGTTCATACCCCAGCCTCTCTACTGTATTGGAAGAAAAGCACCCCAACCAGCCTTGTGCCTCTGATGAGACTTATTGCCTTGTTCTCAGCTGTAGCCCAGTGCCCAGAACTAGACCTGGTACAAAGCTGGCCAATCATCATATATCAGTTGAATAAATGGCCAAATAAAATGGGGAAGAAAAGTAAAATATTAAAAACTGTGATATGATAGTAAGGTAGGCTTGACGTTAATATTCACCAAATTAATGGGACAAATATTAGAGATGAAACATCAAATGGGTAATGGAACCATAAATAGTAAGCAACCAGAGGAATCATAAAGAAACAAAAATCATGTTGAACAAACATGAATTATGGTGAAAACTGCATGAGACATATTACACATTTGATATTTTGATTTATCTTTGTCTCATTGTGTTATGAAAACATCCTTGCAAAAGTGGGGCAAACTGACCTATCTGAACATTCACAACATGAAAGGAAACATAAATAATGGAAACGGCAGGAAATATGCAAAGAGAAACTTCCAGGAAATCATTGCCCTTCTGTGTACAAATCTTTTAAACCTATACAAGTCAAAGTTTTAAGACTAAAATTTTTTATTCCTCACATTTCATTGGTCATAAAAGGGAGAAGACTTTCTGCCTCTCTCCCATTTTCCATTCTTGGCCTGAGAGAATGGGATAAGACTTCTCTAAACTACATAACTCTATAATAAATGTTGAATTACATAGAGATACTCACCCAAAGCCTATAGTCACCCAGTAGTTTCTGACCCCCTGATGGGGCCCTACCATAGGCAGAATGTCAGGAGAATAGGTGATAGGACCATTGACGATATTGATGATGTCAGCCTTCTTCAAGACTGGAACCATTTCCATGGCAGCCTCGACGTGTTCCATGATTCGGTCTAGATCAGACTCAAAGAGCTCCTTTCCAAACCCTGAAGAGAAATGCCGTTGTGGTCAGAACGCCACAGCTGCCCTGACGTGTGCTCCAAAGTGATTTCAATCTCTGAATCAGCTTACATTTAAAGATGGCCCGTTAGTAAGGTACTGTACTTTCTTTTTTAAGTCTAAACTTGATATTTACCATCAACAGACGAGTACTGTTATATTAGTATACTATATTACTGAGAATAATGTTATTTCCTGAAACAATAAATCATGAAAGTTAACCTTTTTAATAGAAAATTTTAATTTATGCCCATTAGCAGTTTCCAGCATTTAGGCCGATCACAATCTTAAAAGACAAACAATAATAATTTGGTTTGTCAAGAGAGGTCTTTTATCCTTCAATTAACCATAGAAGTCTGCTTCATCCTCTCAGGTGAGGGCAAATGGGAGTTTGCAAAGTCATGTCAGGACAGTGGGGATAAATGAAAAACCACTTTAGCATCTAGGATGATGAATTCTAGACACCTTTTAACTCTTAGCGGGGAAGGATGGCATGAAGGCTTCATTCCTCTAGCCCTCTTCTATACACATCCGAGGGCCGGAATTCTGTGAAAAGAGTCAGGGTCTTGGAGCACAGTCATCTTCTCAGTCATGAAAGGCACTGGGATTGAAGGCAGGGCTACGGATGAGCTGCTAAAAGAATATCGCCACCAATCCCAGGGATGCTCCCGCACAGCAGCCAGCCAGCTCCCTCTTGTCCCTCCTGTGGACTGCATGTCAGGTCAGAGAGGCCTGCAGATCACTAGGGTTAGACCAGGGCATGTGGACGCCCAGGGCCAGCCAACAATCTGGCTCTTCCTCCAACTGGAATTATTTAAATATTTGTTCAATAAATATTATTAAATATTTGTTCAAATATTTATTTGGAGGAGAGATTGCCAGCATGGGGGAAGAACAGAGAAGGAGACTCCCAGGTGGCAGATTAGCCCTCCCTCTGGGATCAGGAGCTATTCCCCTCAGGCCCGAATGTGCAGAGCCCACCCAGCAAAACCGAAGCCCTCAGTTGGCTGGCCCAACTTCTGTGGAAGGTGGTTTATCATTTGTAGTAATGTGGGCACAGATGTTCTTTGAAGAGTAGGAGGGAGGGATTCATTCCCTAGCCCAAGTAGCTTATCAAAGTATAATTCTAGAAAGCACAATTACCTCCATTTCTTTATATTCCCTATAATATTTGTGTGCCAATGACATTTTGGCTCCTTTTATAGATTAAAACCTGAGATACCTCCTTAGGTGAACCAACCCTTCATCTGGCTCTGCAGAAATGTTTCATGAAAAACAAAAACAGGTCCTTCTCTCCCTCGCAGAACTTGAAAGAGAAACTATGGTACCTCCTGAGTTAGCACTGAGGCCTAAGGCTTTTCCACATCCATTTATGCAGCACAGGGGGGCTTCAGTTCACAGTACCAACTTATCCTGCTCTGCTATAGACTTTGAGGCTTTCATTCTTAACAGGCTGGATGTCCTATCTCTGCTACCTGTTGTGTTTCCAACTGTCAACGAACAAGAGCAGCTATATCCAAATCTAGAAACTAGACCAAGTAAGCAGGGGAGTAAGGAGAAAAGGGGGATGCAGGAGGTTGGTGTCGGCAGGTAAAAATTACCTGGGGCCTTCCAAAGCAGCGGGGAGCATCTTTTTCATCTTTCCCACCACCAATTCTCTTTCCTTATCCCCTGCTGTGATTGTTCAAAGGGATATGAGAACAGAATTTACCTCAAATCCCTCACTTCCAATGTCCCAGGTATCTGATAGTCTAGTATTATGGTGGCATCTTATTCTATAGCCAGCCCAGAGTTACAAGGAAGATAAAATAGATGTGTCTGCACACACTTCTATTTGCTGAACCCACCTGGAGGAACTCCATTGGTGACCCATGAGTCCTGAACTTTCATTTTCTCTTGACTTTCATATGGACCAAACAAAAGCCCATCCCTTTCCTGTCGGAGGTAATAAGATCCTTCCAGGTCACGGAGCACCGGGAGTTCTCGCTTTAAAGCTTTCACTTCAGGGATGGTCGATGTGACAACATACTGATGCTGAACTGGAATGAGAGGATGTTCTAGTCCAATCATCTTACCTACTTCACGAGCCCAAAACCCTGAAATAAAAAAATCATTTAAAAATGTCACCACATATAAAAGCATACCACAGACGACATTGATACAGCAATTTCAATTAAAATAAAATATTTAGAATACTTCAGTGCTCATGGCAAACTCTAAAGAATGTCCTAACAATGCAAATGAACTTATCTACAGAACAGAAACAGACTCACAGGCATAGAAAACAGACTTGTGGTTGCCAAGGGTGGGGTGGGGGAGGGAAGGATGGGAGTTTGGGATTAGCAGATGCAAACTATTATATAGAGAATGGATAAACAACAAGGTCCTACTGTAGAGCACAGGGAACTATATTCGATATCCTGTGATAAACCATAATGGAAAAGAATATGTGTGTGCATGTGTGTGTATATATACATATATATATATAACTGAATCACTTTGCTGTACAGCAGAAATTAGCACAACGTTGTAAATCAACTATACTTCACTAAACTAAATTAAAAAAAAAGAATGTCCATAAAAACTTTACATTTTTTGCCATTGCAAAATTAAACAGGAGAAGAGAAGACAATATTTGACACTACCCCTGAGTTTTGAAGAATCTAAGGGAACTCCATTCCTGAAAAACAATTTTGCCCATAGCAAAGGTGCGCAAAAAAGAAAATTATTTGAAGGAAAAAAATAAACAACACAAATATATAGAATGTACAAATGTTGATAAGAAAGACAGTAATGGACTGACCTTACTTGTAGAGCAGGGACGGTCAGGCAATGGAAGAGGCCCTGGGTCGATGTGATCAACATAATAATCATGCATAATAAAGCCCTACTAGTTAGTCCTCTATCCCTGAGACCCTCCTCTCCCCAAATTGTTGAAGCCTAAAATTCCACAAACACAGAATTGTTCTGTTAACTTAAAATTTGAAAATGTATACACTTTGGGAGAGATAGCCTTTTAAGTTTTCTGTTCTTTTAAAAGTTCAGTTTGAATATGTTTGGAAGATCCTTTCTTGCAAAGGCAAGAAGACACCTGGTGTCCAGAGCATGGGGGAGGAGGTGCCACAGCAAAGAGGAGAGGGCTCATAGATAAGTGGGAGTTCCCACAACTTATGTTTCTCCCTGCAGTGTGCAAGGGGACTGTCTTCTTGGGGGAAATGAATATTATTTTTTTTTCCTTTGCAAAAGATGGAACCAGATAATTTGTGACTGAAAGACCCTTGATTCTCCCCCTAGGTGACTCTTCAGGCTACAGATGTCGAGCTAAAGTCCAGAACAATAAAGAGACACGCCCAAGGTCACACTGGGAGACCCTGAAATGGTCACATCTTATTGGTTTTTCTTGCTACAGAAAGACTATTTTAAAAATCCAAGACTCCTTCACTTGTATAAAGGTATTTGAGAATCTAAAATGATAAAAATGATTAGTTGGCGGGGATGCAGGGTCACCTGACCCATCAATGAATTGCTGGGGAGAAGGGGGGTTCTATTTGCTTGTTTGTTTCATAATAATTTTGAATAATCATTCAAATGATTAGGGAATCTTCCTTAAGTTATTTCTTTAGAGGCTGCATTCTCTAAATTTTTAACCATTTCTGTTTCTCCTTTTTTTGGCAATCTAATAAGGAGTTCTGAAGTCTCTGTCATTATGAAGTTCAGGGCTAATCACAAATCATCAATTATGAGTCTAGGAATCCTGACTACTGTACTCTTATATGGCATCTAAACATCACTCCTGCGTTCTGTTGTTTTGTTTTGGCCTAACGGCTAAGTTGGTCACACTTGGATAACAGCCCCAGAAATGGGTGTCCATTTGCAAACCAAAAATCTTACCTGTGGGCATTAGAGCTGTTTGCTGGTCTTTGAATAATTTAATGACTTAATTTATTCTTGCCTAGGAAGATGTGAATTACCAATGTCAGGACTTTGTAGGATAATACAGTAAAGCCACATATTCTAGTTATATGCACTGGAGCAGTTTTAAAATATAAAAAGCCAAAATATTTAGCCTAGCAATTCAAACTACTGCAGTGCTTAATATACTTGCTTCAATTAAAAAATAAATTGAAGAAAATAAATCCTATCCTATTCAAATATATTTATAAATTTCTGAATCTAATTGCTTATTAATATACTTCATCATTAAAACAAAGCAGAAGTGTATGCATAAATATCATATAACTATATTACTCCAAACCCCATAGCAAGCTGGACACTGTTTTTCCCTATGTGGTGGTGTTTGTTGGCATTCTCTTCCTCTATATGTCAACCAAATTAACATAAAACTTGCCAGGATTACACTTCAACCCTTGCTAGATCACCCACCCAGCAAGTTCAAAGGGAAGAGAAACAAATGTGGAGGAATCCTCTATAACCTACCATTATCACCTGAAAAAACACTGAACAGAAGAATCAATAAAAAAGTGATCATTAGAAATGGCTTCCAATTTTTAAAAATGCAGTGACTGACAGAAATGGAGTTAAAATGAACAGTACAGGTTGGTGGACAGGTTTACTTCTACTAGATGGTTTATACAGTGACAATGATGTTTATACAGTGACACTCTCTGATGCAAAGTATTGATAAAATTAAGCAATTCTTTTTTGGCTGAACACTGGGCTTCATCTTGGCATGACCCAATCACATTTCTGATTTACCATATTAGGAAAATTCTTAAGTAAAGTTTACAAAGTTATCTCTGGGCTTAACGAGTCAACTGTAAACAAGGTCAAGAGAAACATTCCTCACCATGCAAAGAAAAAGCTTGCATCACAGTGAATAGCTCCTGCCCTTGCCCTCGAGCTGCCTCTGGGGCTCAGGTTAGACCGAAGGTAGAGTGAAGCTGCCTGGAGGGGTGGGATAGGGAGGGTGGGAGGGAGGGAGACGCAAGAGGGAAGAGATATGGGAACATATGTATATGTATAACTGATTCACTTTATTATAAAGCAGAATCTAACACACCATTGTAAAGCAATTATACTCCAATTAAAAAAAAAAAAAAAAAGCAGTACTAAAGAAAGGCAAGTTAGCCTATTGCACACCAAGAGGTCAGCAGGGTCAGAAACTGTTCCTCAGCTCTGCTTGCTCAAGAATAAGGTTCCTACATTCCCTCTTCTGTAGGGACACTGATATAGCAGTGTTTCTCAAAAGGTATTTTACAGACTATCTGGTACAGACAGTACAGTACCTGGAATACTTGTTTAAAATACAGCTTCCCAGCCAGACCACCTGGGAAACTTCCCACAGTGACTCTTATGCACCTAGGTTGAGAACCAAGCTCTTTGGGAAGTCAGTTTACCAGCAGAATGGGTGCTGGATGACTACAGAGCAAGTGAAAGGATCTGGGGAATCTTAAGGCTGGTACCAAGAAGCTGTGACACTTGATGCTAGTGTTTCCCAGACCAGGGCATAAACTTTCAAGGAAATAATTATAATAATCATAAAAATTATCATTATTATACTTCATTTGTTTAGTGCTTTCTATGTGGTAGGACTTTTCTGGGTACTTTACATCATTTACGGATCAGAATAACTTGTTCAGATGGGAATTATTATCTCCATTTTACAAATGAGTAATTTGCCCAAGTCACACAGTTGGCAATAATGTGTCTCTGGTTGAGATAGCCCCACTGCCCTGGACAGTGCTGGAGACACATCAGCAAACTGATACATTTCTGCTCTTAGATTTCCCTTTCCACGGAGATCCTGAAGATCCAGCAGCCTTCTGTTATATGACAACTTTTAGCAGGTTATGCTACAATTGAGTAGATAAGAGTGGCCTTTACATCATTTACGTTTTGGTTGTATTTCCAAGTCTATATCCTGGTTACTTTAATTAGGCTTCAGAGCTGCCTGAGGGCCTCACCTGAATTTATGAGACATCCTGGACTCACTGGGTAACTCTGGGAAACATTCCATCAGACACACATTCTAAATCATGTTAGCACAACGCCTTCTGCAGATGGTTGCTTTTATTCATAAAATTAATCTTTGTTAGCTTTAAGTCTAGAAAGGGGCATATCCAAAACTTCACCCTCTATTACTGAGGTTTACTTTTTGGGGAACTTCTATACTTTAAATAAAGTTTTTTTTGAAAACAGACAGAAATAACTAAACACACACCCCTCCACACCTTCCACGGACTATTTATATGTGATCAGTTAGATTTTCTCCAATAACTTTTGCCCAGTGGAAGAGAAGAGATGGAGAAGAAAAAGGAAAAAAATATGATATGGGCCAGAGATGTGATCTGAATGATGTAAAGAACTGAGAATGGAGACCGTATAGTTCTTCATACAACTGTGAACAAGGAGCTGCCTGGAGTTACCAAGACCTGAGGATGGAACTCAGACGTGGCTGAGTTAAAGGCATCAGGAGCAAAGAATGAAGAAGGACATCCTGAAGAACAGTTTTTCTGGTGCTGGTCTGGGATTTGTTTTCTGATTTGTTCTCCAGGACCTCCTGCCATTGCCCTCCTCTGCCCTGATCACCCCACAAGATTGCACAGCTGCATAGAGCATGGAATATTTCATCTGGTAACCAATGTCCTGGGCTTAGGTCAGATCTCTTTGGAAATTATTCTTTCTCTTCAGAGATTCCTTATTCCTCACAGATTGTGCTTTAGAAAACAAAATATTACAATGACAATGAATCGTGCAAATAAATATGTATCCATTTTAGGAAAACAATAGATAAATGTGTTAAATTAAGGTCTTCTATGTTATTTGTCAAAATATCAGTTGGGAGTGTGTGGCTGCCTGAAGCACTGTGTTAAGAAAAATCGCGGGGTTTGTCCAAGTCTCTCTGAAATGAGTGCAGTGATCAATTAGCAATGTCTGACACGGGTGCTGAATATGAAGTCAGAGCATGTTTATTTAGTATTTGCTATCACTAGGAAAACAGTCAAATGTTTTTAGAGGCTGAATTCATGAGACCATAAAGAAAGTTGCAAGATTACAAAGAATTTTTGCTACTTGTAAAAAAAAGGATGAATGATTTCATTGCCTTGGATCTTCTAGGAGAATTTAGACCAGATGTACCCAAGGACAGTGGGAGATAGGGGGTGCCTGATGGGGATTTCCTTGGGGGCAGGCAAGTGAAATTCAAAAACAAAGCAAAGTTTTATGCCTTTGCTCTTATTTATTGTGTAAGTTGTTTTACATTATTTGGAATTTCAAATGATGTTAAAGAATGAATGAGATTTTATGCTTTTCAAATGGGGGGCATGGGTTAGAAAGATTCAGAAATACTAACTTAAACTCTTAAATACTGAAGACATGACTTTTTCCAGGGCCACTAAAAATGGTTTGTTAAAAAATAACATCAATCAGAAGTTATGATTTAGAGGAAAGAATCCTAAGGGTATTTGTTTCTGGCATGTCCTCATGGCGTATCATCTGATCTGATAAATAATAAAGATTGTTTTCATTTTGTAAATTTAAGCAATGACTCAAAGAGCAGAACATGAGAAAATCAGTAGCTGCCTCATGTTTATTTTATGTTTTAAATTAACCATTATGAACTATAGATAAATATAAATTATTAGCCCAGTTTAGATTGCACAAGCAGTTTCATTTGCTCGAGGATTTATTTTTATGTGTAATATTTGAAAATTACTTCATAGACAAAGAATCTGATAGAAAGTATGTTAATTCAAGAATCAAAAGACCCAGGTTCAAGTCCTGGCTCTGACATAACTGTCACTTTGCCAATTAGCATAACCTTCTTGGACCTTGGTCTCCACAAATGGAAAATGAGTGAGTTGTTAGATTATCTCAAATATCCCTTTTGGCTTCATTACTCTGAGTCTAAATTGTAACAGAGCAACCTAAAGAAAAGTTTATGAAATATATTTAATAATGTGCTGAAAGGAAAAGGGTTAAAAGGGTTTTGGACAGAGTAAAGTAATCAAAATAGATGAGAAAGAACACAAATAATCAACTCTGCTCTAAAAAACAAACTGAGAGCAAAGAGGATGCTCGTGAATTTGAACATTAGAATTTGGTTATTATTATAAAGTAAGTGTGAACACAGGTAGGAAAAAGAAGCATAATTTGGCAAAACATTATCCAGAGCAGAATAAAATGGAGCATGGAAAAGAAAACCAACTCACTATGGATAACCAAGGACAGAGTTATCTCACACAACAAGAGCAAAGTGATGGAGGGAGAGCTTTGTAGCTTAGAAACAGACAAAATGTTCGCCATGGGAGTACCACGGTGTTTCATAACAATGTTCATAGTATAAAACATTACGTTATGACTAAATATCTTATTTCTTTGCCACTAGAAAAAAAACAGTATTTTTTTTTTAAGTGACGCTTACCTGCAGCATTCACAATTCTATTTGCTCTCATAGATCCCTGTGGTGTTTCAACATCCCATGTTCCATCTGACTTGGGTTTCAAAGAAGTCACCGGTGCAGGATATTTTAAAAGGGCACCATATTTCCTAGCCCCAGCAGCCAGGGCCATAGTTAGAGAATAAGGATCAATGTGACCATCTCCAGGATTATACAGTCCAGCTAAAATCTAAATCGATCACAAAAGAGTCAATATTCAAATGAGTACATACACTCACTCAGTGTAACTGTATCCTGCCAGCAAATGTTTAGCAAAACTGGACTTGAAAAATGCATCATGGCATCAGATTGATCAGTCTCCACTTTTTTTTCCTTATGTCCAAGCTCAGAGCTAGGCAGGACTCACATTGAGAGTTAAGTAGACAGGCTATTTGACAGAGGTTTGCAATTGTCTCCAACATTCATTCTCCCCTCCCCCACAAAGCAATGGAAACCAAATGTTTATTTAGACACATAACCACTAAGAACAAAGAGTTTCCAATAGTTGGCAGCTACTAGTTCCAGATGGTAGCTAAAACTATCACTAAATTCTGGTCAATGAAATGCAAATGAAAGTGTCAAATGAAAGAGTCATGGTCACATGAACCATTTTAAGGAGACAACTGGCATATGCCCTTTGTCCCTTCTTTGTCCCTTCCTCCATTCTGCTGTCTGGAATGCAGACATGATGGCTGGTGCTCTAGCTGCCATCTTGGAGTAAGAACAAAGGAGTCACATCCTATGAATGACAAAGCAATGATCCAGAAGGCGACTAGATCCCTGAAGTCTTCATGGATAAGAGCCACCATTCAGCCCTGGACTGCCAAAATGAAAGAGAAATAAACGTCTATCTTGTTTAAGCATTATTATTTTGGTTTCTAACATTTGCAGTTAAATCTAATACTAATTGATTAATTATTTATACTTAATTGCTTAATACTGTTAATAGATTCACATATTAAATATATATCTGGTGTCAGGAAAATGTATACTTGATTCAGTCATCAACAACTAGTTCTTAAGTACCTACTTTGTGCTACGGCTTGAGGTACTGTGGGGGAAACAAAGAAGAATAAAACTCAGATGAAACAAGGAGGGAGCACTGAAATAGTACAGTTAGTTCTCATCCATTCAACAAAAATCTATTAATCACCAAGTATGGTCAAGAGGCTTTTGTCAATTTTTTTTCTGCATCTATTGAGATGATGATGTATTTTTGTCCTTTATTCTATTCATGCAATATTGCATTGATTGATTTTTAGATGTTAAACTAACCCTGCCTAGCCAGGATAAATTCCACTTGGTTATGCTAAAAAAATCCTTATTATATGTTGCTGAATTCAGTTTGCTAGTATTTTGTTGAGGACTTTTGCATCAATATTCATAAGACATACAGGTCTTTCTTTTCTTGTGATGTCTTTGTCTAGTTTTGGTATCACAGCAATACATTCTGGCCTCACAGAATAAGTTGGGAAGTGTTCAATTCTCTTCTATTTTTGGAAGAGTTTGTGAAGAATTGTAGTAATTCTTCTTTAAATGTCTGGTAGAATTCACCAGTGAAAACCATCTGGGCCCCAGCTTTTCTTTGTGGGAAGTTTTGGATTACTAATCCAATCTCTTGTTATAGGTTTAGTGCAAGAGACTTCTGGTTTTAATGGAATTTGTATTACTGTAGACTTCTAAACGTCACTTTGGTGTTTTATAATGGATATGTCCTTATGCAGTGACCCTAGATCTATTTGATTTGGCACCCTGCCCAGAGCCAGAGAATACTCTTCCCACATATTTCCATTGCCCAATGTCCTTGTGAAAAATCTGTGATGGTGAGAACTTCCAGCAGAGCATCCCAAGATTGACATATAAACAGATATAAGAATATCCTTCCTGGCAGTGGTGGCAGAATTTTAACGCAGACAATGCAATGCAACACCAATCTGCCACCACATTGGCATCACACAAAACTACTGAAAAGGGGGTGCCAGCAACCTGTCAAGACTCACAGGGGCTAACAACCCAGCTCCCAGAGCAATGCTATGAACACTTAGGCGTCATAGATACTACACTGGGGAGAAACACAAGCCTCTGCTTCCCTGAACAGCTCCACCTTTTACCTTTAGGTAGCATAGGTACAAAGGAGTCAGAGAGCCTGGGTTCAAATCTCCTCCAGCTCTTTCTAGCTGGATGGGCTTGGGCCCACTATGTACACTATCTAAGCTGCAATTTCCTGTTTAGTAATAATCTATACCTTCTATTATTATTGTGAAGAGTAAATGAGATTATACATGTAAATGGCTTTGCATAATACCTAGTACATTAAGTATGTGCTGTAGTGTTAGGTAGTGCAGTATTACTCATTGTTATTATTATTCAAATGGGATTATCACCCAGCAAAAAGACACTAAATTCCCAAGTGGATTTTCTCAGCTAAATTTGGTTAGATCAATACCTGTCAGGGTAGTACAGCTATGAGTTAGGTGATATCTGTGTAGCAATATAACATGTACTTTCTACCTTTGATTTTGTAAAAAAAATGTTAGTAACACAGTCTTTCTGTACACACATTTGTCACACCTGGTTATTGTCTTCTCTGCATTTCTCAAGCAGAAGGTTTATTATAGAAACCTCCAGATCTGGGGAACACAGTAATAGAGAGGTATTGAAAATGTTTCCTCAGTTGTAATAGGTAGAAAGCTAGTAAGATTTTTCATTACCTTTACTGTATTTAGCAAACATAATAGCCCATCTTATAATCTACCCAAATTCCAGCATTAATCGTCTGATTTTGACATTCAAAATGTGTGCACAAAGTTTTTTCTAATTAAATTTCTAAAATAACATTTTCTGATCTTAATTAAAATCAACAAATGGTAAAAAAAAAAAAAAAAAATGCCCTTAGGATAAATACCTTATTCATGTTGAGTAAAGGAAACATCTCTTGTATCTTTTCAGGTTCAATAATATACTGTTCCGTTGCATGCCAGCCAGTCCGAGTCATTTGATATTTAAATTCATCTACCCTTACAGGAGTTGTAGCAATTCTGATACTACCTGGCTGATGGAATCCCACCTCCTGTGATGACAATGCCAGTAAAAACTCATAAATCATTATTTGGCACTCAAACATGGTTCTTCTCCAGCACAATGAACATGAAGGTGTGTAAGAAAAGAGATTCACTATGCAGTGAAAGTGATAGCTATATACCATATTTACATCATATGAAAAGATGTTCATTTTACAAATATTTACTAAGTGTCTCCTCTGTGCCAGGCACTATGCTAAGCCCCAGAGATGCTGTTGTGAACAAGACAGATGAAGATCCTGCCTGGATGGAGCTTACAGTCTATAGGTGAAGATGGACAGCTAAACGCATAATTACAACATGAGATAGTGCTCACGTACAGAGTGGAAGAAAATTATGTGCAAAAAAGAAAGACAAAGGATTTGAAGAGAGAACATGAAGAATCAGAATGCTGCGGTGAGGAGATTAAGTGTGAATTGAAATAAACATTCATCTGGCATTCATTCATTCATTCATTTATTTATTTATTTATTTTTGCGGTACGCGGGCCTCTCACCACTGTGGCCTCTCCCGCCGCGGAGCACAGGCCCCGGACCACAGGCCCAGCGGCCATGGCCCACAGGCCCAGCCCCTCCGCGGCATGTGGGATCCTCCTGGATCGGGGCACGAACCGGCGTCCCCTGCATCGGCAGGCGGACTCCCAACCACTGCGCCACCAGGGAAGCCCTGGCATTTATTGAAGTCCTTTAGTTGGCCAAGCACTCAGCAAGGCCCTGGGTGACAGTGATCAAAGATGCAGTCATTATCTTCAAGTTGCTCGGACTCTGTAGGAAAGACCAATCAGTAAAGCAACAATCACAATTGAGGGGGATTCGTAATATAAGAGGTATGTGTACACATGTTCTTAGAACCAAGAGATATGCCCTCAGCTCCGCCTGACTGCTGGGTGAACAAAGTCAAGGATGGCTTCTCAAAGGAGACACCCCCCGGGAAAATGTGGAAGGCGAATGCTGAAATGGGGACCAGAGGGAATGCTGTCTCAGGCAGACAGCCCAGCTCATTCTAGAACTGTTTGCAATTAAGAATAGCGGAAGCATCTGAGCATAGCAAAGAGTGGCAAGAGAAAACATTGGAAAGGCAGGCAGGGCTTAGCTAATGAAGGCCCTTCTTCTTTGGCTTTTGTCCTGTAGACTGTGGGGAGCCATGTGATGGTTTTAGGCAAGGGAAATAGCATGAAAATTTTAAGCAGACTTCAGTCTTAGTCTATGGATACTCTTTGCCTGCCACTTTATTTTGAAAGTACTAATACAAATGAGAAGAGAGAAAAGTAAAAGTGAGGGGGGCTTCCCTGGTGGCACAGTGGTTGAGAATCTGCCTGCCAATGCAGGGGATATGAATTCGAGCCCTGGTCTGGGAAGATCCCACATGCCGCCGAGCAACTGGGCCCGTGAGCCACAACTACTGAGCCTGCACGTCTGGAGCCTGTGCTCTGCAACAAGAGAGGCTGTGATAGTGAGAGGCCCGTGCACCGTGATGAAGAGTGGCCCCCACTTGCCGCAACTAGAGAAAACGCTCGCACAGAAACTAAGACACAACACAGCCATAAATAAATAAATAAACAAACAAACATATTTTTTAAAAAAAAAGTGAGGGGCTTTTAGTGAAGTACTTTTCGAAGGCATGTGACAATCTGGCATGTACAGTTGTCAGATCCTTTGCAATCCAGTGCAGAAAGGCTCTGATATCTTAGTTTCTAGATATAGAAGCTGACTAAAGATATTTTTGAAAGCTGCTTTTTATTCTTTTCTCATTTAAAAACTCAGGAGGGCTTCCGTGGTGGCGCAGTGGTCGAGAATCTGCCTGCTAATGCAGGGGACACGGGTTCGAGCCCTGGTCTGGGAGGATCCCACACGCCACGGAGCAACTAGGCCCGTGAGCCACAACTGCTGAGCCTGCGCGTCTGGAGCCTGTGCTCCGCAACAAGAGAGTCCACGATAGTGAGAGGCCCGCGCACCGCGATGAAGAGTGGCCCCCGCTTGCCACAACTAGAGAAAGCCCTCGCACAGAAACGAAGACCCAACACAGCAAAAATAAATAAATAAAATTAGTAAACTCCTACCCCCAACATCTTCTTTAAAAATAAATAAATAAATAAATATAAAATAAAAAATCAGGAGCAGGTAATTACATGGGTAATACACTTCAAGAAATTAAATTGATTGAAAAGCAAGCTCTAGAGGTTCTCATCTTAAACTCTCATCAGAATCTTCTACCACATTTCACATGCCATGGCTGTCACTACACACAGCGATACATGATGATATCAAAATCCTTCAGTAATCTTATGTATCTCTGAGAAACTGACCTAAACAGACAATTTCAAGCTAAATGCATTTACCTGTCCGGTTTCTTCTTCCAGTTTCTCATAAAGTTTGATGCTATCATAATGTATTTTCTTTAAGTTTATTCCAGGATGAAAGTAAGTTGTTAAACCTGCCTTAAAAGTGGGGAGGAAAGGAAATACCGAAAAAAATTAACATTCTCAAAATGTTGACAGTTTATCTGTTAAGAAGTAATTTATTACTGGCAAGAAATTGACAAGCACCAGCCAGTCCTCTGGGATGAGAACACATCAGCACGAGTTTGAATGCACATTGCATAAGGCTCGTGACAGTTATAAGAACCCACTTGAACCACATAAATAATGTGAGAGCCAGCCAACAAACATATATAGTAAGTCCCTAAAAGTTATTAGGGAAAGGATTGTTTGCAGATTCAGAAACGGGATGACTTAGATGGAATCACTTAGGTTAGGAAAGTACGCTATTAGGAAAAATATGGGGGGACGGCATACAATGTGGACTCAAACCAACAAAGCGTGTGTTCCCTTAAGGAGGACTATGAACAAGCTAGCAAAAAGTTTTCCTTGTCTCGATCCCCACCATTCCCTTGAATTGAGCGGCCCTCCTATTTTCTTTCTTGAAATTTCCAAAATTGAAGAAGTGGAACATTCCTAGGAATTAGAGCCTGTTGAGTGGTGAACAGACCTTTGTCATAGCTTAACCAGTTGATGAATGAGCACATAGATTATACCCCGCAAACATTTCCTGAATAAATATTGAATAATCACTCTCAGGAAAATATCTAAATATTACCTGCCAAACCCCCTTTTATCAACTCTGGCGGATGCAATATAGTATCCAGGCAAAGAATTCTAAGCAATGATATGAAGCAGGTTCTCTCAGTTAAGTGTCTGGGGCCCCATTCAGCAGCTAATTTATCCTGGAAAGCTCATCCGAATACAATCTGTTTAAAATAAAGTCTGTTTGGTAGTATATATAAAGTTCTTCGTGTTGGGCATTTGGTTCTACTGATCTCACTTATATGCAGAATCTAAAAAAAGTGATACAAATGAACTTATTTACAGAACAGACATAGACTCACAGACATAGAAAACAAACTAATGGTTACCAAAGGGGAAAGAGCCAGGGGAGGGATAAATTGGGAATTTGGGATTAACAGATACATACTACTATATATAAAATATTGATAGGTAAACAATGAAGACCTACTATGTAGCACAGGGAACTATATTTAATGTCTTGTTAATAACCTATAATAGAAAAGAATCTGAAAAAGAATATATATGTATGACTGAATCACTTCATTGTACGCCTGAAACTAACACAACTTTGTAAATCAACTGTACTTCAATTAAAAAAAAAAATCCGCCATTAAAGTTCATCAGTGATCCTTTATGGGCCAGAATCCTCCGTGTCTATCAAGTACTTGTTCAAGCATTTGGCTACTTTTCTGAGAAAAATGTTGGCCCAATGTCATAGGTCCTCTCATAGCACAGCCCCATAATGAGGCAACTGTGAGTCAGGCTCCCTAACTTTCAGCCAAATATCACATCCTTCTTTACATGCTTGGTATCTAGTGTGATATGAAGTTTTCTAGTTCAATAACAGAGAATCTCTGGTCTTCAGGCATCTTCTAGAGAACTCAATTTTGTTTTCGATATATCTCGTGTCAGTTGAGAAAATGGATATTCACAAGCCTGGGCCTAGGGTTCTGTTCACCATTCACTCCTCAAGATCCTCTAAGTTTAACCTAGGTAGAGCCAGACCACCCGAAAATGATATATCTACACTACATCAATCTTCTTCCCCACCCTGGAAAGCTGTTTTCATAGAATGAGTTAATGATCTCTCTTCTGAAAGGGTCACATCAGTTTGTTTTATAAAGCTCTTACTCAAAACATTTAGCTCAAAAAAAAAAAAAAAACATTTAGCTCAATATCCTTTTTTTAGGGAATAAATTCTTCTAGGAATTTCTGGTCAAGGAAAAATTGGTCTTTCTTACTGAAATGCTATAACTATTTCTACTGAACAATTCATACAACCCTAGTTTCCTTGCTGCCGGGACAGTCAGAAGTAAATCCTGAACTCAATTTTTTGTCAGGTATAAAATTACACACATATATATATATATAATTTTTGTATTCCTTACATTTTTTATCAACCAGTTTTTGTCTTTTAATCTGTGTTCAAAATTTGGGGTCAACCGTACCTGTGCTTTTATTGTGAGTTATTTGAATGTAATGTCCTGCATGGTATTTATTGTTAACTTGTGTGTCAGTCCTGTGGCATGGGGTGGAAGAAGGGTACAATGTTTTTCCTTTCTGGGCTCCAGCAAGGATATTTTAAGTGGGAAGTTTGAAGAAGAAGAAAAGCACTGTTCTTATCCTTCAAGATTTTATAGTCTGATTGGGGACATGAAACTTTCATACATTGAAACAATGAAATCAAGAGCATAAGATTAAGTGCCAGAGCATAGAGAGAAAGACACAAGAACTAAGGGAACTAAGAGAAGAGAAGATGCTGGAAGGATCACAGAAGGCTTCATGGAGGACAGGCAGGGGCTTACTTTTGATTTGAAGAAAGAAAATGATTATAGTTGGTGGAGAAGATAAAAGAGGGAAGATGAAACACAGACAAGAATAATCATTAAGACAACAAGGTCCTATTGTATAGCACAGGGAACTATATTCAATATCCTGAGATAAACCATAATGGAAAAGAATATGAAAAAGAATATAAATATGTAAAACTGAATCACTTTGCTGTACAGCAGAAATTACCACAACGTTGTAAATCAAATATACTTCAATTTTAAAAAAAGAGTAATCATTAAGAATTATAACCCTTTGAATAAAATAAGAATATATAAATCCTTGTTGATATAAATCAATAAATAAGTAGGGAGAGTGGAAAGCTCTTCCTTCTAGCACACTAACAATAAATATGAAAGGAATGATGCAGTTAGAAAAATAATCCATGGGTGCTAAAGTTAGTGATGTCCTCTCTCTCTTTAATAATCCTTCCCACTCTGTCATGAGCCTCTACAGCCTCAAAAAGCCCAGTGACTGACTTCAAGCCTTCCCATATCCCAGTGCTTCCACGTACTCGCATCCAATAAAAATATTTGAGCATACCCACTAAAATATGTGTATTTCTTTATTCCCACATGACGTATAAATATGTATTACTATATTAGCAGAGATCATAAAACACACAAAAACAACTGGAAATGAATTAAATGTTGTAAATAATTCTTACTTTATTGATTGTGCAGAAAGGTTTCTGAATTTTAAAAATTTATTGTGTAGAAAAGCTTTTGAATATTAAGCTTATTAATATTTTAGCAAGGGCTATGTAATATTTTATATTACTAAAATATATATGTCGGATTAATATTGGTAAAACAGCGATTTGAAGGTCTAATTTCTTGGTGTGTTTTCTTTTGTGATGGTTTGAATGGCTGTGATAGCTGAAGAAGCTATCTGTCAATGATACAAAGATGTAAGTGGGAGAAGTGCCCCCTCTTGGCTGTACTCTCTGTATCTTGATGCCACTTCTTCCATTCCCCTCACCACCTACCAAAAGGTTTTTACTGAAATTTGACTATTAATGTTTCACGTTCTCTTGTCCATCAGCTGTTATAAGTTAATTGGGAGGTACTGCCTTTTACATTTTAAAAAATGGGTGCAAACCCACTGAAACTCCTCATTTGGGAAAATGTTAAATGGGTTTAAACTTAACTTTAAATTTATCTCTTGCATGTATGAGAGTTTTTTCTAGGTGATACATAACATTTTGGCCAGAAAAATCTAAAACTGATACCAACATTTCCAAACACCCCTTCTCAAAATGGTTTCTTTCCAACAGGACTATTTTCCAAAAATTATTTTTCACTTATTGTGAGCATCACCTTGACTTTGAAGGAATAAACTACATCTATTGTTTTGTATGTATCTACTACATAGAATGACTGGCAGCCACTTCCATCACTACAAAGATCACCAAACTGGGGACACTTGTCTTTTTGTAAAAGAAAAACTTTTTTTACAACTCTTTTGATTATTGTTCCGGGATAACCAACAAACCTCTGTGTAGTACAACACTCTCAAGGTCATTCCCTCTCCCTTTCATCACAAATAATATTATTTAAAGCCTTGTTTCTATAAAATCGATCTTAACATTGATATCCTATAGTATGTGATCTGCAATATGCCATGACAGACTGAAGACAAAAGAAAGAATGGGGACGCTCCCATTGTGGAGCACCAACCTCTCCCTTAGGCAACATTGGTATCATACACAATATGTCACCCACATCAAAGGTGAGGGCTATTTATAAAGATTAGTAAAGCTTAATGTCTTTATTATATTTTTAGATAAAAATAAACAGAGGGCTTCCCTGGTGGCGCAGTGGTTGAGAGTCCGCCTGCCGATGCAGCAGACACGGGTTCGTGCTCCAGTCTGGGAGGATCCCACATGCCGCAGAGCGGCTGGGCCCGTAAGCCATGGCCGCTGAGCCTGTGCGTCCGGAGCCTGTGCTCCGCAACGGGAGAGGCCACAACAGTGAGAGGCCCGCGTACCGCAAAAAAAAAAAATTAATAAAAAAATAAAATAAAATAAACAGAAAGGTCTAACATTATCTTCCTACACCCCAAATGCATAATCTTGCATGTTTAGTCCTCAGCCCTCCAAAACAACCACTTTGACACCATTCCCAGGGGCAACCTCTCCTGGGGACCCCATATGCCAAAACTGCTTCTTTGTCCATTCTCTCCCCTTTCCTTCCATCCTACAAGAAATGTTCTATATTAGCAGTATTATTGGGGCTGACAAAACAGTCTCGTTAAAATCCAGCAAAACCTCAAGACTGCTGGACTTGTGATTCCATTTTGAATATTCACATTGCAAGCTGTGCCCTCCTCCCCAGCGCATCTGATTCCTGCATGTCCCAGAAATGTTTAGCCTTGAGTACATGTTATTCTTCAGTGAGACTGCCTTTATTTTTGTAGTCTACCCCTTCAGCTGGCCCCCCAAAACGTCCACATTCTCATATCTGCTCCAAAATTTCTCTGTGTTAAAAAATGAATGGATAAAGAAAATGTGACATGTATATATATATATAATGGAATATTACTCAGCCATAAAAAAGAAGGAAATTCTGTCATTTGCAACAACATGGACGGAATTTGACAGCATTATGCTAAATAAAACAAGACAAAGAACTATAAATACCAAATACCATATGATCTCATTTACGTGAGGAATCTAAAAACAAACAAACAAAACAATGGAACTCAGAGATACAGAGAACAGATCGATGGTTGCTAGAGGTAGGGGTGGTGAGGGGGTGAAATGGGTGGAGGGGGTCGAAAGGCACAAAATTCCAGTTATAAGATATAGAAGTCCTGGGGATGGAACGTACAGCATGGTGACTACAGTTAACAATACTGTATTGTATATTTGAAAGTCGCTAAGACAGTACATCTTAAAACTTCTCATCACAAGAAAAAAATTTTGTATCTACGTGTGGTAATGGATGTTAACCAGATTTATTGTGATCCTTTTGCAATATATACAAGTATCAAATCATTATGTTCTACACCTGAAACTATTATGTCAATTATATCTCAAAAAAATTCTAATCTGTGGCATTTCCTCAGGATGCTCTTTGGTGGGAGACCCCCTTGTTTGCAAGAAATCCTCTAATCAGCTTCCTAGGGCAATCCAGTTTTCTTTTCCTTTATTTGTAGGGGCCCAAATAACCTGGCTTCTGATACCTGACTCCATCTTGAGCTCACCCTGCATGAATCTTATTTTGTGAACCAGAGCCTACTACTTCGTTCACAAAGCAGAAAAATGCCTTTTCCACTCATTCTGGTATCTCTCTGCTTAAGGGGAAATTAGTTTGCACAGTTAACTTTTAAGAAGAAGCCATCATCTTAAAAACTTTGCCCACTTTTCTTAAAAGATCTTAGGCTAAGGATATGTTGCTTTATTGTTATTATTATTATTCATGGGATGTTTAAGAAGTAATATTCAGGGATTCTAGTTATTCTAGTAACTAAATTGGAGGTTACATCAAGTCAATCCACCATAAATGAACAAAAAAGTAATTAAAATATTAAAGTGTACACCCTCCTTAATAATCCGGAAGTATTAAAAGGGTGTAAGCCCTCCCTCTCAGGAGATTCCCATTTGGCAAAATTTCCCTCTGCTTACATGCTCTTCCCTGGAGAGCCTCATGGCCCCCTTGCTCCCTCACTCCTGCCCAGTCTCTGCTCAAGCGTCACCTTTTCGAAGTAGCCTCCAGGCTCCTCCACCCCCATCATTCTTCATCCCTTCACCCCGCTCCACTCTGCTGGCACCAATTACTCTAGAACATCATTTGTGTTTTCTTCCATCTGCCCCACCAGAATGCGGCTCCATGAGGGCAGGGGCTTTGTTTTGCACACTGCTGTGTCCTCACCTCCTAGAACAGTGCTGGCCTGACACAATATAGGCTCTTCATAAATATTTGTTGAAAGACTGACCGAATGTCCTCCAAAAAGAAGTCATAGGAGAGCTGTGGCAGAAATGCAGGCTTTCTATTCCATGATAAAAGGAAATCTGCATAGAAAGTCTAGTTCAGGGAGGGGAGAAGAGCCAGAAGGGTCAGTGGCTTCCTGGGCCCCTCTCTCCAGGTAGCAGGAAGTAAGCTGAGGGAGAACTGCTGACACAAGAGACAAATGTGCCTATGGAGACTCAGAAAAGACACTCAGGGAGGACCAGGTAGCTGGGCCTCCCTCCCAGACTGAGAAGTGAGAGGGCTGGCAGGAGAAGAAAGAAGAGAAGCAGGGCTTGATGCCGTTTTTCTAGAAGTCTCCATCCAATTGGTGGGTGTGGTCTGACTATGTGACCACAGGGACTCTGGGGTGAACTGGGCTTAAGTCTGGGCATCAATCTCTCCGAAGCTCAGCTGGAGGCAGGAGATCCAACTCTATCCCTTACCGTGAGCAGGTTCTGGGTGTCAAAAGGCCCCTAAAAGCAGGGTTCCCTCTTGTCTCAGTAGTGGAAAGCTAATGATGGAAAGGGATGACGAGCAGAAGCTAACACTGCCCAACTTTTTTTTAAATTGAAGCATAGTTGATTTACAATGTTATGTTAGTTTCTGGTATACAGCAAAATTATTCTGTTATACATATATATATATTGTTTTTCATATTCGTTTCCATTATGGTTTATTACAGGATACTGAATATAGTTCCCTGTGCTATACAGTAGGACCTCGTTGTTCATCCCAACTCTTCCTCCAAACAAAAATGGCACCTGCAGTCATGAAATCTTCCTCTCCCATCTTAGCTGACTTCAGAAATAATTGGTTTGGCAGTATGAAAGCAGTGTCAATCACCTCATTTACCTGAGCAGCTTTCGATGTAAGCCCAATTATTATACAGCACTGGAACAATTATGCATACCATTAAATAGGCGAGATTGACTTGGTCGTGTGTTTCATTTAATACAACATGAAAGCTGTGTTGCACGTTCTCAGCCCTCATAGTTAAGTCCTCATGAAGCCAAGCTGCTGTCTCACAGCACTAACTTAAAATCATAAATCAATAAACATAAAAGGATCACTAAAGCCAGGTGAGGGGATATAGGTAAAGGTCTCAGGCCTGTATTCAGGATCGCCCAGCCACTATCCTTTGGTACAAAAGCTAACATTTACTAACCACTTACCATAATAACTTTACACATATTAATTCAATCTTCATCACAACCCTATTAGGTAGGTACTATTAATATTCCCATTTTACACATCAGGAACTAGAAACTTAAGTAAGTTGCCAGAAGTGGAAAATGACAGAGTCAGGATTTGAATCCAGAGTCATATGTTCAAGATTATCTTCTCATGATTATCAACATCATACATGTTGATCATCCACTTAAAGTATACCAACTAAACTGCAATTGCACCTTCCAACGCTATGGAAAGGGAACTTGCTCTAAAGAGCTCTCAGTGGGGAGCTGTGAATGGGAAAAAAAATCAATTGCACAAGTGACAGTTCAGTGCATATGATGGTGTTGAGATAGTTTTCTTACTGCGTGCCAGGTAGATCCAGCAGTGAGCTCCGATTTTTCCAGGAGGACCACATCTTTCATGCCTGCTTTGGTCAAGTGATAAGCCAGACTCACACCAACGCAGCCACCTCCAATTATCACTGTTTCTGCCCTGTCTTTCCATCTTGTTTCTGCAGGTGAGGGTGGGTTTTCTTCTCTGGAAGACATTGTTTTTAATAGTAGCTTTACTAGGCTCTGATAGTTATAGTTTTTGTGGGTTTTTTTCTGACTAGTGTGATTCTCCTTACTTATTCTTCTAGTACTTAACATCTAGTGCCTGGGAGAGTTACATGTGCTGACAATCCTTTGGGAGCCTCAATCTGACTTAGGCAACCTGGTTGGGGGAGGGAGGAGGAGGCATCTGAACCCCATTCCCCTAATTCTGACCCATTGTAGATACTTAATAGAGCTAAAGAATTGAACAGATGACTTCTTTTTCTCAAAGAAATCTAGAGAATAATTTTTCTCAGTCTACTTTAAAAACACACTGATAAACATTTTATTCCACAAAAAAAAAACCATAATAATCATGAAGTCCATTATCTATAAATCTTGGATCACCTCCTCCCTCCAATGTTTTCCAGGCTGAAGAGAGCTAGATGGAGTACAACGCTCTTCCTCGCTCAACGTCCTCTCACCGTGTACCTGCTTCTCTAATTATAAATATTGCTCGGTGGCTTGATATATTGATTTGCATGTCTGTCTTCCTAGCTAGATCATGAGCTTCTCCAAGACGCATTGTAAAAAGCAAGGTATAAGTAAGTCAAAGAAGACCATATATACACGTGCGTTTGCCTCCCCATACAGAAGACACTGCTAACAGTTGACTGGGGAAGGGAATGGGGATAGGAGAGTCTTTGCACCAGGAACCCTTTGATATTCTCACTTTGAACGGTTGTGCGTAGAAAAGAACACCCATAATTCGAGAAGAAAGCCGAATGCCCACTTCTCGGGGTCGGAAGCACCCGTAACCCGGAGACCGCCTCAGCCCTGCGCTCGCACCCCGCAGCTGCCCAGCCGCGGGCCTCCGCGCAGACCCGGCCCCACTCACCCTTCGCGGCCGCAGACGGAAAGTAGGCGGCCGGGGGAGCCCCGCAGCGGGAAGCCCCGCAGCCGCAGCGCGCCCAGGCAGAACATGCCGAGGTCGAGACCATAGGGCGAGGGCGCAGGCACCTACTCCCAAGCCAGCAGACAGCAGGGGCGGTGGGAGGCGGTGGGAGGCGGTGGGAGGCGGTGGGACCCTCCCCCCGGCGAGGGGCGGGCTTCTGGCTCCGTGAGCTGCCCGCCACTCAGCGCTCGCCACAGCCGCTGCGCGATGGCGCTGGCCGGAAGCCCCGGAGCCAAGAAGGTGAGTTTCGGGGAAACCGGGAGGTACTCAGCCCTCCTGGCCGCGGGGCTTCACCTCAGCCCCTAATCAAGCTCTGCGGTCTGGGCGAGGCACCTGGACGGCTCTGAGCCTCGGTTTACCCGCTCGCGAGTCGCCCGGACGACAGTAGTGCCTTGGTGTCAGGATGAGATAACAATATTGGGTAGCATTTATGGAGCCTTGACTCGCTGCCCTGCACTGCGCGAGTGCTTCATGCAAATTATCTCCTCTTCACGTTTATTCCCATTTTACAGGTGAGGAAACTGAGGCTCAGAGTCCGAGACCCTAGCTCAGGGTCACCGATCTAGTCCAGGTGGAGCAGGGGTTTGAAGTCCAGCCATCGGACTCAGGCCGCGCTCACATTTCCTGCCCTCCGCCCGCCCGCACCTACAGCTCTTCGACTCAATGGCCCCAGTGCTCGTGCCCCTCGTGTGTTTGGGAAGGGCCGTTGCCTGGTCTCCCAAGCCTCGGACTGGCCTGAAACCGGTTCCGGGCATGGACACCCCTAGACCCGCGGCGGGGATGGAGGGTGGGGTTCGCGGAGCCGGGGGTGGGGCCTCCGCCTCATCTCACGCCGTAGTCTAAGTCTCTGGGCTCCCCTTTCCCGATCTGCTCGCCAGCTGTCGCCCTGTTCTCCCATTTTTACGCTGGATGTGTGTGTGGTGGGGAGAAGGCGTGACAAAACAAAATTAGGAAAAGGGCATGAACTTGGACGCGGGACATCTCCAAACTCCTCGAGGCAACCCATCTGTGCTCCCTAATTCAGAAGAGAAGGTGGGGAAGGAAGGGGGGATGTGCACCACCGTTTTACTTAGTAATACTAAAAAGATAGGAACAACCAAAATGCCCTGCAATAGTGGGCTCCGTAAATAAAGTGCATCCATTTAATAAGTTATTAGGCAGCCAATTAAAAAGCTAAGTATGGGAACAGGCAAAGTGCTTTGCAATGTTAAGTTACAAAAGGACATATATCACAGACTGATCCCAACTACATAAAAATATTTATACACACACTGTAAGGAAGGACACAGTAATGGTAGTAGTTCCATAAGATGTGGAATATACGTTTAAAAAACTTAACAAAAAAACATATTCTGGTTATGTTTTTCTGATTATAAAGGTAAAACATGGGCATTGAAGCAAATGAGCATGACAAAAAGAAAAAGAAGCAAAGAACATTGTGTTGACTTCTTTCTCTGAACTTTCTCTAATACTATGTTCACTTTTACAGTTCATTTTTTTTTAAGGTTTTTTAAAAATATGCTCTCCCTGTCCTATTTTTCCTGGCCTCTGCCCTTTGCAACACCAAGATTATCATATGAGAATCCATGTTAATGTGTACCTGGGAGTTAAGATGTTAGTGGGGCAGAGCTAACCTCACCTCTCTGCTCAGCTAACAGGTGCATTTTAAGAATTCATTTAACTGCTATAGAGGACACCTCCAATTGCTTCTTTAATCCAAAAGAGCAGTCCTGGTGGCAAGTTCAGGCAGATGGACCTCTGGCAGCTTCCTGCCATAGGGTGAAGTTGGTCTACTCCTCTGTGTATGAATAGAGGTGCCCTGAAGCCAGATCTTAAATCCAAGAGGTCTAGATACTGTTACCTGCAAAAAGAGGGCATAAACGCCTCTCAGAGATCACCATCAGATCCAAGGCAGAGTCACTGCCACACTGAAAGGGAAGATGGAATGAAAATATAAATATACTGCGAATAATTTCCAGTGCTCTTTATTTTACACAGTCCTGTCATTCTAGAGCTGGCTTTAGATCATACAGGTGTAGCAGTTAACTGAGGTGGTAAGTCTAGCGGTGAAGGAGGGGCTAAAAGATGCTCTGAATTCAAATATTGATAGTTTAGTTATTTTGCTAATGGCTGTTTAGAAAACTGGCAAAATTTTAAATGTTGGACAAACATCCGGATAACAGATCAAAATGCCTTACATTTACTTGGTATCATGAAGGCAACAGTCAAAATTTGCACTGTCATTTTCTTAAAATCCTAGCTAATTTTCTATTAAAGAGTATCATCTCTTTCCTCCTTGTCAGGACCAAGTTTATAGCATATGTGAGGTTTGTGCCATTTTCAAAACAGTCCTGTCTGTCTGCTAACTCTTGGCATATTTTATTAAGGGCCTACTCTTTGTTAGGTGCTGTATGAGGTGACAGAGCCTCAAGCATCTTACAGCTCTGGTTAACAGAGCTGGGCTCCATTCCACTTCCCTCCACAGGAAAATGGAGATGTGGTGGAGATAGTGGCCTGGTACTTAGCCTCAGGGCAACCACTTCCAATGTACCTTCAGATATGACTGCAGATATGACTGGTTAGAAGGGGCAGTGGGAACCTTTCCTCCCCCATTCATGCACTGCTCTGTGTCCAGCTGTAGGCAGGGCTGAGAGGAACTGGCTGGTATTTTCAACAAAAGGCTGTATCTTCAACGAATGCAGTCTATACAAGAGGGATAGGGATCCCCATGGGGGTGTTTGCAGTTTTTATAAATCGCAGGGAAGTTCTCTCTGAAAAAATGACACTTGACCAAAGACCTGAAGAAAATCAGAGGGCGAGCCATTCAGGTATCTGGGGAAGCACTTTGTAGACAATGGAAACCATAGCTTTGGATAACTGCTCTGGATGCAACCTTATATTCAGATTATGGGTGGGCTGACTCGAAAGGTGGTAAATAGAGACTAGGTTAGGAATTTAGAAGGTCTGATGTCTGCTTTTTCACTTACTGAGCTCTATGATCTTGAGCAATTCACTTAGCCTCTCTGAACCTCAGTTTCCTCATCTATAAAGTGGGAATAAAAACTATCCGCCTTGCCTAGCTCCCAAAGTTGTTAAGAGTACCAAATGGTAACGTGTCCGTGAACATGCTGGAAAATGTAGGGTATAATTATAAAATGTTGTGTCCAATAGGATTATGTCCAGTGGTTCACACACAAAAGAGGTTTATTTTTCTCACCTAACGAGAGGCCTAGCGGACGGTCACCGTCCATGGCGTCTGCAGCTACTCCAAGATGTCATTAAGACACCAGGCTGCGGTTATCAGCCTGCGTGTGGCTTTCAGTGGCATGGCTGCAAGATGATGGCTATACCTCCAGGGCTTAAGCTGACATTCCAGACAGGACAGAGAAAAAGGGACAAGAGGGAAGGGAGTGGGCATCTGTATCAGGAAAGCAAAACTTTTCTAGAAATCTTCAGCAGACTTTCACTTATTTCCCATTGGCCACCAATGTGTCACATGGCCACCCCACTCAGCAAAGGAGCCTGAGGATTTTTTTTTTATTTAAGTTGGGGACATTGTCTCCCCAAACAAAATATATTAGCAAAGAAGAGGAGAAAAAAATGCACATTAGGTGGCTAGCAGTGTCTGCCACAAACATCTTGAAAAACCAAAATAACCATTATGGCATCAGCACTTTAACTACAATTTGACTCAGATTAAATTGTATTTGAGAAAAACTAGTCACAGAACTTTGCACAAAACAAGTACCTGGATTGTCCAATAATAGAGTATTCTCAATCTTTCTGAAATACTATTAGGCACAGATGATTTCAAGAGAACTGGAGCTGTGAGAGCATTGTACCACCTTTCCTAAAATTAGAGACTGCTTTTAGGAAAAAAAAAAAAGAGGGGTCTTAGGTGATTTTTCTTTCTCTTCTTCAGGGCATTTTGGAACGTCTGGATAGTGGGGAGGTTGTGGTTGGAGACGGCAGCTTTCTCATAACTCTGGAGAAGAGGGGCTACGTGAAGGCCGGGCTCTGGACTTCAGAAGCCGTAGTAGAACATCCAAATGCAGGTCGGTGCCAGCATCACCCCTGAGTGTTTATCTGGGTGACATTTTGCTTAAATCTGACTGAGAGAAGATAAATAAAAGCGAGCATTTTCTTTCTTTTTAAAATAAATTTATTTATTTTAGTTATTTATTTATTTTTGTCTGCACTGGGTCTTCATTGCTGCGTGCGGGCTTTCTCTAGTTGCAGTGAGTGGGGGCTACTCTTTGTTGTGGTGCGCGGGCTTCTCATTGTGGTGGCTTCTCTTGTTGCAGAGCACGGGCTCTAGGCGCACAGGCTTCAGTAGTTGTGGCATGCAGGCTCAGTAGTTGTGGCTCGTGGGCTCAGTAGTTGTGGCTCATGGGCTTCGTTGCTCCTCGGCATGTGGGATCTTCCCAGACCAGGGATTGAACCCGTGACCCCTGCATTGGCAGATGGATTCTTAACCACTGCGCCACCAGGGAAGTTCCGTGAGCATTTTCTAGGGACTGTTTCACTTGCCCAAACTGCCAAGATGTGGAGACAGTGGCAGTACACGAGCTGAAGAAAGGGCTTCTCTCTCCTTCCCTCCCTCCTCTACACACACACACACACACACACACACACACACACACTTGCATCTTCATATTCAGGGAGTGCTAAAATATACATACCAATATTTGTTCCATGAATATTTACCTTGTATATTCAAGAGTTTCCTTAACATAGTAAAACTGTTATTGCTTCAGATTCATCCTTCTGGCTAATTTGCACTCGATATTAAAACAATACATTTGGTAGGGACGATTAATGGTAACCACCAGCTTAACAGAATATAGACAAATAGCAAATATAGATTTGCAAATATAGATATATATAGCAAATATAAATTTGCTGTTCTAAATGAAAGTGGGAAATAAAGCCAAAGAAGATATGGGTGAAACGGGATACAAGCTGGGAATGGAACTTTTGATTCACTCTGATTTTATTCATATATACACAGTGTGTCAGACAAACATGGGGTCATGTCTAGGTCCTTCTACTGACCCGCTGAGTGACCTTGAACAAGTCATTTGACCTCTGAGGATCAGTTTCTTCATCTGT